AAAACATGATAAGCGCACCCTCTTCCTAAGGTAGCCACATTTGCGTAGCCCCCCTTCCTCCCTCCCCTCCCCCACCCACTTTAAACGAAATCTTGTAAAAGCTCGAACAAATGCGGAATACACGTCCCGCTCGTTGAGGATGTTGTCAAATTTTTCAACCAACAAGAAAAGAAATAAATTTTAGCTGTTGTTTAAATTATTGACTCAAAAAAAAAGTTTATCGCCAAGAATTGAACCCGGGCCTCTCATATGCGAAACTCTCTCCAACACCACTGCACTACCAAGCTGATCCGTCAAGCAACTGAAAAATTAAGCTATATCACGCAAACAAAAGAGAAAATAATAATAATAAAAAAATTGGTCATCAATCAATTTTTATTTCTTTGTTTTCGCTCTTTCCACTCCTTTTTTTATTTCATTATAATATAAATCATCTGTTACCTTTTTTAATGTCTCGGAATTTATTCAAAGACTATTCTGCGCGTTTGTTTGTGTATAATATTTCCTTCTTAGCGGCCCAAAATTCGACTGCAAATCCTATTTGTTCTTTCTTCTTTATCAAAGTAAAATAAATCCCATGATTCCTGGTAAGTAGTTTTATGGAGACAAAATAATTTATTTTTAAGGACTTTGATAAACTGTAAACCAGGATTGAGTACTGAGAAGATGGCCATATAGAATATGGTTAGCGATGCACGCAAGCGCGGGGAAAAGCTTTAACTTGATCGCGCGTCGTCATCAAAAAGCAAGACATTTTTTAATACTTGAGGTATATATAATCGTAGAGGAATTTTAAATAAAACTAAACTGCATTGGTTTAGTTTTTTCTTTGATTATGTGTTTATCAGGGTTCAAAGAAGTGTAATGTAAAAAAAAAAAAGCGACATAGCTCCTTTTATAGTCAACCAATCAACTACAATCGATCGTTCAATCAAGAACTTCAATTGAGTACTCTTATCCCACCAGTAAAGCTCCCAGGGGCCTGGGTACCGGCTACCTAAAATAATAGTTAAATTTACTATCTATTTCAATATATTGTTATAAAAAAAACAATACACGTTGTTCTGAATCAGCTTTTCGTTAGTCTTTGGACTTCTCGTTTTTAGTTTTTTGTTTCAACTTGAACGTTATAGTACTTAGCACCCTTTGCTTGAATCTGAACTAAACCCTGAGGCCCTTTCAACTGAAACTTGTATTGATAGTAGCGAGGTGTTCAATGCAATCAAAACTAGCAATAGTTTAACAAGCATCCGGCGACCATTAATGCTGAGTTAAAAACCTCCTTTTCTAGTAGCCGTAGCAGAGGGTCGAGATGAAGAAGTCGGGCAAATGTTCCGATTAATACCACATATCAGGCCACCTATCTTAATCTGGGGCACTATCTACTTATAATATAAGATACATTTACTAGTATTATACACTTGAACGCTATTGTTGCACTCTGCAAGCATCTGAACTAACCCAATCAGGTCTTTCTCCTGAAACTTGCCTCGACAGTGGTTTCAGTAGGTTATAGTTCAAAAAAGAAAGTCACAGTTTTTTTCTGAGGGCGATGAAGGTCATCGCGGAATATTCATCATTAACACACAGAATCATTGCTAAATAATACAATCGAACCTCCACTAACGTACATCTCTTCACAACGACCACATTTTTTTGTCCGGCTGACAGTTCATACATTGACTCTTGTCAGAAGCATATGCTTCTGCTCTTGTTTAAACCTCTATACACAGCGGCAACGACCACTAACGTGGGGTTTCATGATTGCACCCCTGTACCTTCAGTATAATGGCCACTTTCTTCTGTTCCCAAGGTGGTTGTTGAGGAGAGGTTTAACTGTATTCTTTATTTTTAGAGCGGCGGAGCACCATGGGTAAGAAAATGAAGTAATCTACCCATCCGAGAAAAGTTGGTAATCATGTGACCGTACGCCCGCCCGCCGGCCCATCCGCACCACAGGCATACCAATGTAAAATATCTCAATCAACCCAAATGCAACTCTAGGTTATTTTGGCGGGAAATCGCATAGCCACAGGCATCTTGTAAAGCAGAGACAACTAAAGAATCAATAAAGACGAAAACGGAAAGCTGAAATTGTTTCTGTATCCGTGTTGTCTAAAGTATTAAGCTTAGATCAATTGTCATGTCCACAAATTTGGAATATAGAGCAAGCGAAAGTCAGAGAAAGAGAGAAAGTATGCGGCAGGTCAGCGAAGCTCAACGAGAAAAACGGCGGCAGAGATTTAGAGCGAGAGTTAAAAAACAAGGGAGACACTTTTTGTCGGAAGAACTGTTTGCAAAAATATGCAACTTCTCTAATATTTCAAGTTATAATGGTATAAAACGGTTAAAGCGCATGTTATTCAACAAGAAAGTGAGTATACCGGCGAGAAATAGCTAGATGCAAGATTCAGTTCGGCCTTTGAAACTTAAATATAAAAGAATTAGGTCTAAATAAAGAGCTTCCTAGAATAAAAATTTAACACAAATAATATCAACAAAGCCCCGTGCAAACGGACGAAGCATTGATGGTCAGCAACTCCCAACATTGTGGGATGTTACATGTTGCGGGCGTTGGTCCATTTGCACCCTGTTACATGTTGTTACATGTTGTCTTATTGGGAGTTGTAGCGGGAAGTTTGAAACCGTTCAAACTTTTAACCACGTGTAGACGGAGGCAACAACTCCCAGAGATGTTGCGTCCGTTTGCGCGAACCCTAAAATTTAAGTAGAGTTATGCATAAATATAAACGTTTTACCCGGACTAGCGAGAGCAAAGCTAAGTGACTTCTTTAAAGCCAGCAAATGATGTAAAACTTGTGTTTACTTTTTCGATCTTCAGTTTGCTATTTCCCGCTCCCAAAAAACGCGGGTTGCCAAACAATTTCCCGCCAAAAACGTGGCATGCAACTGTGAAGGTCATATTTCACATCAGTATAAATGTAGTAGATGCAACGTTGACGACCGTTGCCAAGACGCCATGTAACATAACCAAAATTGTTTAAAATAAGTAACCAGTTTTCAATTTTAATATATAAAATTCTTTTCTACGTTCAACACCCCAAATTCCATTCAAAAGTTATTTTAGGCGAAGTTTAATTTTACATTTCATCACTGTAGGAAACTCCTCCTGCAATAAGACATTTTATGTGGTTCGGTAGATTCAATTCTTCTTCCCTGTTCCAGGAAACATCTTAAAATTCCTATCACAGGATGAAACCTTGATGAGTAAACTCTGTGAAGTGACTTTCATTACAATCTACATCTATAACTCGCAAAATACTGGTCATACAGCTGAACTTACCGAAGAATAGTCTACTACTATAGGGTTTACGCCTGCGTCTGCCGTTAGAAGAAAATTATTTTTTCGAGCCTCCCTAAATAACACTTCACCACTTAAATTATTAATGCGTCAAAATAATCAGAAAACATACTAAAATAAAGACGCTGTAAAAACCTTTACTCGGACAGATTACATTCCTAAGATAAAAAGACAAATAAAAAATAATAATAAAAATAAAAATAAAACAGTGAAAATATAAGTCCAAATACGAGGTTTAAGGCAAGGAATTGTTATGCAAGTCAGACGTTTAAGTAAGGGATCACAATGTTATAAAGAGGTTTATGAGCGACGCAAGTCAACCGGAAGTGGACTTCTTGCATCCTTGAGCAGTGGTTTTGCCCAAACTTTCAGGCAAATCGTCTCTAAGTGTAAAGACACTTAACAATCCAAATTTGGCATGGTCGAGACAAATTAAAACAGAAAAGCCTTAATTCAGGTTGGCGTGCGTCGCTCAAAAACGCTGTTGCTTAAGTTCCCTATTTCTGCCCACTGGGGAATGTGCAAGACCGTGACCAGTCCGCGGTTCAGATTCCTACCTCGGGAGACCCCAAAGCCGGTGTGTGGCCTATAGACCTTGAAATGGAGGTCAGGACAGGATTACACAAGCCATCACTTCAAAACGACACAAAAAACACAAAATGTAGCACAAAATCACTTTATTTTTTCTCCACATTAACCTAAGGTTAGGTTTCGCTTTCCCTATGAACACGTTCGTTACGCAGTGTCGTCATACGCTCACGTAGAAAACAAGCAAATAAGGTAAATAAATAAGCCCTGATGAATCCTTAGGAATCAATACAGTAGTCTAAAAATCTACCAGTCCTAGTTGTTTAAAGGCCGAGTAGCGCTAACCCGAGGTTAAATTTTAAGCTAGTATTCATTTTCTTTAGGTCGAAAGCATTTTCTCAGATAATTTCCTCTTTCCGTTTTAGAGCACCCAATCATCAAATTGTAGACAAAATAAATTATACTGAATTTGCTTTTTAAGGTTTCATTTGTGAATCCAAATTTCGCTCTAACCCTGGGTCATTTTGAACCAGCTTCGAACAACTCGGCCCAGATCTATAGTCTTAGCGTGTGACGGTAATAATTCACTACAGTGTGCTTAAAGTTTGTTTCTATTTTGGTTTCTCTTATCGACATATACGCGCACTGACTATTGTACACTCTAACAAAGACATTTTTTTAAAAACTTAATAATGACAATATGACCTTGGAGACATGGAAATAAATAACGAATGTAAGAAGGATTGACTAAGAAAATCGCAAAACATCAGCAAAGAGTAAAAGCCAAAGAAAGTCGAGGTAACTTTAAGGATTAGAAACCACCTTGAAAGTTCTTCTAGTATACACATCAGGATTAGGGTGGGGGGAAGTATGAGGGAAATTGTGGAAAACGGATAACCCTAACCCGTAGTCAAATTCCTGGCCGAGACAACAAAAAATCCATGTCAAAATACTACTCCTCCCCTACCACCCCTCCTCAGGGGATAGTCTTTCCCATCCGTTTTCCGGAATTGTCAACTCTTTTCGTTTGACAGAAACCTGGTGATAGTAACTGAGGACGAGATGATCGATACTGTTTTCATAGCTGCATCCGCTTCGATGATACGCAAGGTGATGAGGTGATTCACAAACTTAGGAATGTGAAAGAACATCACGTATCTGTGTTGACAGAAACAAATTCTTCGTTGTACAAAGCTTCTGCGTAGTCATCGCACACGTGTTCAAGTTCATTACCAACTTCATGTAGGGCTTCTTCTAACAAATCCTCACTGATCCTAAAATAAAGCGAAATTCACTTGTAATCGCATGCTTCCTTTCTCGTTTCGGTCCGAAAAAAGTTTCTCCAAGAGACTTGTAATTGGCTTTGAGGAGTGCGCCCTATTTCTGTTCAGTTACCACCCTATGTTAGATAAGACCAGGTGCTCTAACAGGGGGAAGTGCCCCTCTAAAAATTAATATCAATAATTTTATTTTCCTTTTTAAGTTTGAAAATTATATTTCCAAAAGAACGTAAATACACCAAAACACAAAGAGATTATAAAGCGGACAAGGTAAGTGTTTGAGTACAAAACAGACCACACGACCGGGCAACAGCTCTGTATTATTATTATTATTATTATTATTATTATTATTATTATTATTATTATTATTATTATTATTATTTTATTTTTATCATTATTGTTTATTTATTTATTTTTACCAGCTCGTTTTATAGGGGTGTAAAACAAGACAAAAGCTCTGGCAACTGGTTAGCCTGCGTTGCTTAATACCAGCTCTGTACTAAACAACGCAAGCTAACCAGTTGCCAGAGGTTTTGTATTGTTTTTAACTCCCATAAAACGCTCATAAAGAGTTAAGTCTGGCTTACATGTTTTGACTGTATTTGAAAATTGAGTCACACTTACACTTCTGTAAAACCCATTAAATAAAACCCCATACAGATCAACAGCTCATATTCTTTCTAGTACTAAGTTAAAACAAACGAAGCTTGAGAGTAAGTTGCAACTACCGGTATGACATTTTCGTGTTTGCAGTTACCACTATGACACTGACCCTCTCTCCCCAATCCCCCTCCCTCCCTATCCCCTACCCTTTCGACACCTGCTATGCAGGCTAATCTGACTTTGTTTCGGTAACTGTTTATTAAGCGGCCAGTTGTTCCTTCCACGCGCGTGGTCGCTTAATGGAGGTTCAACTGTGTCGTAGCTTTTATTTAAGTGAAGTGACCTACCTATCCACCAGTCCCCAGGGGTCAAACTTGCCCTGTTCATGAGTAGCAGTGTCCCTCAAATACTTGTTAAACCGGTTTCTGTATGACACCACACTGGCTCTCATCTCCTCAGGTACACTAAGCTTCACTGTAGGTCGAGCACTACTTGCAAGGGGTCGGCTATGTGAGGGCCCTCCCAGCTGAGTGCCTTTATTGAAGGAGCTTTGAGTTGATGAACGATCTTCAGTTGATGCTGGTAGAAAAGAAAGATGTACAGTCGTGAGTGTATGTTGCTGATTTAAAGTAGCTTGGCCAAACAGGCTTAATAAAGCGCTTTTAATAAAGAGTTTCTAGACTCATGGAGCGCTATAAACTGTTCTGTTCTGTTCTGTTCCACGAGTTCAGAGAAAGAAGATGTTCTGGTCCCAGTTGTTAAAAAAGCGGATAATACTGTCCACCGGATAAATCACTATCCATTGGATAGCGCAATTAGTTTCCCTAACACTTATCCGTTGGATAGTGATTTAAAAGGATGATAGCGACATCGCCGACCCAATCTAACCGTCAACTTCCATATGGCTAATTAAAACAAAGCTCAGTCGGTGACCATCACAAAACCTCGCTCGGTAGTACTCTCTAAACCAGTCCCAATATGTAGATGTCGACCACTGCTGGTAGTGTCAAGAGGTCATATAGGGCTGGCATTATAAGAGAAACGTGTAAGTTATTAAAATAGCTGACCAGCTTTTAGGAACATATCTTGAGTCAGGTCCACCCATTTTAGGATTCCATTAGAGAGGCAGGTGATGCGGGTCTGTCTGGTAAAAAATGATACTTGATATAACTCAAACAAAGTATAAAGTAAGGTAAGTAAACTCACGTTCCACAAGCGAAGAAAAGCTGCTTGTGTCACTGAATTCCTCCAGTAATTTTAGCGGCCTCCTATCCATCTCTCGTCCCTGTTCGGCAATTCCTCGGCTATTTTCCGACTTTAAACGATGGCTCTCAGTCCCATCCGGTTTGGAAAACACGATAGGTTTGGGAACTTTGACTCTCCGAGAATGTCGTGTCTCTGCTTAAAAAGAACGATAAAATAAGATAAGAAAACAATACAAAATTTTACATACAGAGTAAACTGCTGTGTCTACAATCAAGCAGAATCGTCTGTGAGAAGTTGAATTAGTTGTTAATCAGTTAAATTGATTTGGTTGTCTGAGAAAACTAAATCAATGTAAGACAAATCTAAGGTAAGAACAAGGATAGAAAATGATTCGGTCAGTGAAACTACTTTCACTTTAACCCTTTAAACCTACAATCAAAATTTGAATTCTCATTTGTTGCCCCCTATTCAGTTCCTACAGACGCAGTGGGGAGAAGTTGATAAAATATTTAGCAAATTCATCTTGCGTGATCATGTCTGTAATTCTCATGACCACTCTGATTTACAAAGCATTGATATTACAAGGAGAAATTTGATGCTGATCACTCTTGGGGCTTAAAGGGTTAAACAGGCTATGCAGAGAGTCATAGTAAGTCTACTTAGTAACGTGATATAACCATCATATAGTCGTTTGATTGAGCGTAGCCACATCTCTTCACAGCCGTGTGTGGCTATAAATAGAAAGACATAGATTTACACAGCTCACACGGCTATACTTAATCGTCCTTCATGGCCCAACATAGCCACAACACAGTCATGAATAGCACTACCCATGTGTATATGGCCATACAAGACTGGCTTTACGCACGCTGACACTTGTAACTAGCTTGTCAGATTGACAAGAAATATCTACTTAAATCCTTGTGATCATGATCCAATTCCGGCCTCTGTTGCTGTAACCAGGCCTGATATAACAAAGATTTTTGAAGAGAAATTCTACGAGGCTACACAAACATACCTGAAGAAAGATTTTCTGTGGGTTTTTCTACATCTGAATATTTAACATGAACCCAGTGGCGCCTTATTTCCTCCTCGACTTTCTGTGAACAACACAAGATTTATTATTAGTAACCAGTTTTCTTAAACCTAACGTCTCCTTAATAAGGAAGGCCTTCAATAGAATACAAGTTTTTTAAAAAAGAGAAGAAAAAAAAAACAGCGGAAATTGGCAATATGTGTCTGTTTTAGAGAGGTGTTTCCTTTATAGAACACCAAAGAGGATAAATAAAGAACGTTAACTCGGTAGCCATTGGAACGTCCTCGTTAATGAGGAGATTGTTGCCCTCCTCTTTCACTTCCTTCACTGCAACTAAGCTCAAGTACAATTGACTAAGTGTTTAAATGTGATGTAAACACCTGTTGAATTATCAAGTGGTAGTTTAACTTGGTGATATTGCCTTTTTAATGACGAAGGAATTGGGAAAGAGAGACAAAGTACCTTAAATAACAAAGGTTTGTTTTGATTTTTCACCGGAAAAAAGGGGTAACTCATCCGTCCCCTCCATGCATGTTTTTGTAATTTCTCCTCAAAGTGATAAGAAAACCAGCAAACAAATAAACAAATGCTATTCATTCAAAGTGTTCCCTAAACACTCCACGTTGGAAGCTCCTGGAGAGCAGAGGGCAGTCAGTCGAGGCGGAAACATTTAAATAGTATCCAAATTCTTGCGTTTATTTAAAACCTCCCGCCCTGACCGGCTGATACACACTGCCTAGCTGATCATGAGTGCCTCTGGGTCTCTGCATCTCTGTATGAGCAGGTAAAAAAATATGTCAATGTACCTCAAAATTTTGCAATCTCTGAAGAATATTTTCTAAAGTGGAACTGTTTTGTAAGTTATCAGCTTCAATTTCAGCCTCTTCTTCCACTTCCAGCCTACACAAAAATGGAAAAATTTAAAATCTTTCCTTCCCTAAGGAAAACTACTGAATGCTGTGAAATAATGTGAAAACCACTAAAAAAAGAGGTTCTAGTTCGAGATCCTCGTCTTCTTTTGATCCTTGTGTAATAGAGCTCAATATTGTCTAGTCTAACAATCACATATACTGTTTACTTCTTTCCGTTCCCCTTCTCCTGGGTCCTCTGTCCTTGGATTTAGACATCTTGGCCATCTTCTATCCATTTTTTTTTTTTGCAAAACCCATCGTTCAGAAGCTCACTTTGCTCTCACAGTACTTTCATAAGCGCTTCTTGTATAGGCTAAAATTTGGTCTATATTATAAACAAAATACGGGTCCTTCTCGCCGCCACATGACACATCTAAGCACTTTTTCTGTAGACTGACCCCCTCCCACCCCCCGCCCCCCATACTCACTGCTGAGCCAAAGTAATGCCACTTTTAGTAAAACACTGCTTCTTTGCTTTCTTTTTATTTTGTAATCATTTAAAATTTTAAGGAGAATTGCATACTGATCACTCACCTCTGCATTTCAATCACCGTTTCCTCTAAAACGTCGTCAAGAACCTTTTCAGCTAAAATGTCAGCTTGATTCATTGTCTGTTGAGACATAATTCAGCCACAGTTTGTCTATTAACTTATTAGGTGCGAGATATCTCAATTTATTTCGCATAAATAGTTGCACAGTAACTTATATGGCTTTTCCCTTTTCCCGAGCTGGCATTAGTTACTTTCAGGTCACATGACATGTTTCCCGCCAAAAGTCTCTAAGTGGACAACACAGAAAATGTATGACGTCAGAGGGTAACAGTGAGTGCTCTGTTACCCGTAAATGCTGGCTTCTCACTGAGATTAACGCTTAAAAAATTTGTTCTCAGAACAGATGGTAAACTAAAAGATAGTCTGGGTCAGGAGGATCAGTCGGATAATTAAGGGGGTATGGCGAGATACACTTACTGTTTCCGACGCAAGTTTCCCCAACTGATGATGCAGCGATTTCTTATGCACGAGTTCTCGTCTGCCATCCGCGTCTGCTATCTCCTGTATATAATGAATTGAAATAAAGGTTTTAATTTTTAAAGCGTTGCATCTAGGAGTGTCGCTCATTACAACTCTTTACGACTATATAGCAGTCTTCAGCTTAGGATAGCTGTCATAACTGTTTATAGCAATGTATTGCTCTATAAAGTGGTATACAACAGTGTATAGCTCTGTATAACAACGTATGGCTTATTAAAAGGTGACGCATAGCTCTGTAAATTTAAGTATAGTTTATAATAGTATACACTTATATGAATCAGGGTTTTCATTATGAATTCTAGTCGCAGGAGAAAGGTGTAACGTTACAGAAGAATATTTTGAAAGCGGCTCCAAGTCTGAATATAAAATAGTCATAGGCTACGGAATGTTTGCCAGAGAATTCTGCCTAGTACACGGAGAATTCTCCGATCTCCGATGCCGAGTGAACACTCTCCATAAAGCTATTTAAAGCTCTGAATGCACAGAGACGATCATCAGTGGCAAGCAGAATGCCGTTTTGAACACAGACAAGGGCGGTTTCACGGCTATGGTATAGTTTCCAGTGATTCTAAAGGCCTATGAAGTTGGTAGTCATGGAGACGTCTAGAGGCTTAGGGTAAGACACCTTGCGAAAACTGTAACGTACCGTGTTTGTCGTTTGATTGATTAACTTTCAAAAACATACAATATTGTGACTTCTATACCTCAGCACGATCTAGAAGAGGTTGTAATCGTGACCTAATGGCTTCTTCTGTCTCTGATATCAATCGCCTGGACAGTAGAACGTCTGAGCTAAAATGGAAACAAGAGTGCTGTTTAGATTGAGTATAGATCGACTCTAGCTACACTACACATTGCCGTGCTAACCCTACTGCGCAAAGGAACGTGCCTTAAAACTGTGAAGGTTGAATCCAGAAGTTATTTCATTAGTAGGTTCGGCATGATCGTCCGGGTGAACGTAATCCTGACAGTGAGTGACGTTTCCACAACCTGTGCGGTAGTCATCTTCAGAGTCAAAGTGAGTTGTACCACGTTAGCTGATAGTATAAACTCTGGTTATTGTTTCTTCCCTCCCTTGAATAACTGAGCCCCTGACAAAACATGAAACGTACCTTCGGTCTCGTCGGTGAAGATTCTCTGCTCTGCGGCGATCTTCTAATTCTCGCATCTAGTTAAACAGACGTGAAATGAAAATGTATTTCATTACGTTAAAATTAGAGACGAAGCTACAAGTGTAATCTGAGACGTTACCCTTCTATCTGCTTCTTCATCGAGCCATCGTTGCCTGGAAATGGAAAAGTTGACAGTCATAAACTACAGTAAGGGTGGTCAATTACTGACATTATATAATATGGCTGAATCCCCGAGCGGGCAAGATAAAGTGAATCCTGCGTTCTAATTGGCTACCGAGCGGGCAAAATGAAGTGAATCCTGCGTTCTGATTGGCTACCCGAGCGGGCAAGATAGGCTCATCTTTGATACCGCAAGAAAAAGTTCTTTTTTTGGCCATATAATAAAACCCCTATTGAACAAGCTCGTTTGATCAAGATGGCTGTATATTGGCTCCTTCTTTTTTGCGTTCTTATTGACTTCGACTTCGTCTGAGGTCTCGGTTAATAAGAACGCAAACAAGAACTTTGCCGATATCCATCCATCCATCTTGACCTCACGCTTGGTCAATAACGAAATTATCCACATATGTCCAAAATATAATAAGTACAACGTCAAAGAGACGATTGATGAGAATCACTGTGCGACTTCAGTAAGATCCTCTCAAACAGAGATAACCAATCACAATACAGCAGCTAAACAGTCATGTTAGCCAATCAACGACTTGTAGAATTTCAACTGCCTTGGCTCTCAGTTCACTTCCTGAAATGTGATTGCTTAATTTTGTGTAAATAGGCCCTAGTTATTGTTACTGCAATGTAAAAGACTTCTCGCCAACCTGATAGTCTAGATATAATAAATTCGAAGGGGGGAAAACAGTGAGTAAGGGTTGATTTCCAGTGTCGCGTAATTTTTACGTGCGTAAGTGCGAAAAATTTACGTTCGCAAATAAAATAGAGGCAATGCATGAAAGATCGCTCGTAAGCGTAAAAGTTGAACCTCGCTCAACTTCTCGTTTAAGCTCAGCACTTTTTATCTTGCCTCTATTTTATTTACGTGATTAAAATTTAAGTGCGTTAACGTGCGTAGTCAAAAACGCGTCAGTGGAAATCAACCTTACGGCAGAAAAGACATAACTGAACTGAGCGTGACCACTTCTGGAAAACACTGCGTTACAAACAAATAGTACAGCTATAGAGAACATTACCTGGCCACTTCTCTTTCCACCAGCTCATAGTCTAGAGGAAGCGTTCTACGAGGATACTTTGGGCTTTTTGGACTTTCAAGCTGAACACAAGAACAGACAAAACAAGAAAAAAGTCATACCAAAATCCTTAACGTACTCAGAGAAACTAGCTTATAATTTGCCGAATAGATTAACTAAACCAGGCTTTTAGTAAGGGACTATTATTACAGAATTCCTTGACTCGTCCTAAACTAGTGTTCCATCGACAGGTTCAGGAAGAGGATAACGAGGAGCTTAAACTGCAGCAGACACGACAACGTTATAATGATGACGATGGTGATGATGATGATAATGAATTATCTCGTTACCACGTTTTATGGAGAACGTAAACACAAAATATTGAATCTTCACTTCCCTTTTGTCTGACACTGTCCTGTAGGTTGACTAACACAGTACATCACAGTGTGTTAAAAAGTCTGTCAACTTCTTATCTGTGTTTTGAGTTACAATACAAGAAGAAGATCCCCACAATTTGGGGTCATATTGCCCTCTTTACACTTATTCATTTGTATATGAATGGATTTCCCACAAATCTTAGGCCACTGAACTGAGAGCAACTGCTTTCCGTCTTAAAGTTGTGAGTCCTATTTAAAGTTTGCTAGCTAAAAAAGGGGGCTTCTAACTAAGGAATTCTGTAGCTTTCTGAGGAACTGAATACTTTGATGAATAACTGTCTATAAGTAAAATCAGTACTTCCTACAAGGACATGAAAAGAGAAGTAAAAAAAAATAAAAATAAAAATAAAGATCTCTTACAGTTGATAATCGTGTCTTCTGGATACTTTGCCTCCAGGTGGGGACAATCAAAAAGTAGGGTGTTGTATTTGAAAATTAACTTTGCTACAAAAGACAATCATGCTTTCGATATAGCAGTATCACCTGGCGTTCACATTCTCTTCTCTGTGTTCGTGGTGATATATAAGCTGTATCATGTTGAGACACCTTTTCCGGGGTCCTTGGACCTTCTTTTGTGGGTGTTCTAGGCGGAGTTTTTGGTTTGTCTGCCCATTCTACAGGAGGGGCCTTTTTGAGGATGGAGGACACTGTCTCTTTTGCAAAGTGAGCCCGCTCCATGTCTTGAAGCAGTTTAACCCTTTTGGCAATTTGTTGAGCTCTCTGGCGCTTAAGCTTTAAGAGAAAAGATGACGCAGCATTAAGTCTATGCCAGATGCCTCATTAAAACACCCCCCGATAAGGTGGACACTAAGTGCACACCAAGTGTTTGCCTAAGGTTGACCACACAGCCAACTCCCATTGCTGCACACACCCTAGGGGCTGTGAGTGGCCAACATGAATTTTCTCCTGACAATATCAATATAAAATGAAGAGAAAAGATTAATGCAATGGGAATTAAAAGGATAAAAATATCAGTATCTAGATTGACTGTAGATTAACCAATTTTAGCGCAGAAAATGTTTGTACAAACTGGATGAACCTAATAATGGCATTTGGACTGGAAATTTATTAATTAAGAAGTAGAGAGGAAGGACCTCAAAACATGACAACATAATCCCAGAATCAGTGATATCTACAAGTACATACCTTCAGTTTAGCAGGAAGCAGCAGAGCCTGTTTAACTGGTTTGACAGGTCTTGCAGCCTGAAAATGAGCAGCTCTTGGCTGAAGACCTGGTTTTACCTGTAAAAGATAACACACAAATAAAAGATATTTTTATAATTGATCCATAACAACCTGAGATCAGACAGAGCTAAAGGCCCGTAAAAGAGGTTGTTCATCCGTATAAAAAAAGCTCTTGAAAGCCAAAGATAACATGAAAAGCTCACACTAGGATTATTCAAGCCAGTTAGCAAAGTGTCTCATATCACAAGGTGTGAGAAAAAAAAGAACTGACTCTCACAGGCTAAATAATAAACAGTACCAAGGCAATCATAGCCTTTTCCAGGCATTCAGATAGTGGAGTGCAGATCACCAATGATCACATCTCTTTGCACCATCCCCACAATCTGAACGCCTGGAACAAGCTAAGGCAACTACTGGTGAGAATCAAAGCTTCTGTACCAATGTCACAAGTCTTAATCTCAACCATCAACTACAAAGTATTCCACACAATAAACAATGCTGCAGGAAAGTAGTGCTCAGAGATTTAATTAGAGTGATCACATGACTGTAGGAACTAAAAAGCCCCCATGACTAAGGCGGTCATTAAGAGGCGGGGGCCGGGAATTCCCCAAGCTACCATGAACGTGGCCCCCAGCTACTTTCATAGGTAAATAGAAGAAAAATAGAACCAAAAGAAATCCCTAGCTGTTTGATTCCCCGCCTACTTGTTGTATTTACCCGGCAACTTGAAATCTTAGTGACAACCCTGCATGACCCCCATGACCTGAGTACAGAGAGAGCACCACAGGAAAAAGCAATATCTTATTATCTGTAATCTATTTAGATTAATACATTTGTATTATTAGTAATACATTTGTATTAGTAGTAGTATTGAAAGTTGCAGGTAAAAGGTAAAGTAAAACGTACCACAGGAGTCTGAATAGGAGTGTCCTTAGCTCTTAAAAGTGCAGACAACCCAGCCTGAAGTATGGCATCCCTCTCTGGAGTGGGGTCTGGAGAACTTGTGACCACTGTCAAAAAATTAAAATTTGTTTCTCAAGAGAGGGGAAACAAGAGCTTTGAGTTGTTCATCCCAGAAATTGTTGTTGAAAAATGCCACTTTAGCTTAATAGCTGAGCAATTCCTGGGCCCACCAAAAAGCATTGAAACTGCTCAAAACAATTTGTTACTTTGCAAGTCAAGAACTATGCTGATTTTTGCTCCTGGTGCTAAATTACAGCTTCCAAAGTTTGAAAAGGCACTAAAGGCAATATTATTAATTTTTCTTTCTCTCCTCCCTTTGTTTGCTTTTTCTCCTCCTGCTTTAAATTTTAAGTTTACTTGTCTGGGAATAGGCTGCATTTCCACAAAAATTATTTTGAAGGAAGATCAGGTGGGTAGCGGAACAAGATTTTCATAAAAGGATTTTCTGGGCAACTGTACATGATTTGTCACATTCTTCCCTGGCCTGTTTGACTATTCACTCATTCTGTACAAAAGATCTTGCCCTTTCCACCCCTCCCACACAGAAGTTGGGTAGTTCTCTATGATTGACCTTTTAACTGAGAGCAACACAAAAGGTACCTGGGATGTGGATCCACACAACCAGTTATGGGTTGTTGACGTGTGAATGTATTAAGGTCTCGGTAAAGGAAAACGAGGTGCCCACAGAAAAAAATTCTAGTCGCGCGAGTATTTTTGCTACAAAGGCAAGTTATATATCAAATTAAAGCTAAAAGACTAAATTACCCTATAAAAGATTTTATTTCATCGAATTTCAAACGGCGCTTAAGTTTTTTGCTCTCGAACTCAGAGGTATCGAGTTTACTGCTGAAGCTCCAGCCCTTTCGCGTTGTTAAATATTCACTTCCTTTTTATTGCATCTGATTGACAGATAAAAGACCTAAAAAAGGGTGTGAGGAAATTTGCATATGTCTCATATTAGCGGAATTATTGCATTTCAAACTAAAAAGTCGAATCTCGAGCGCGATTTACGCAAAGAAACTGACATAAAATGAGTTACAAAGGGAAATCGGAAAATTCCTCACACCCTTTTTGAGTCTATATCATCATCCGTCATATCTGAAAGTTTCAAAGCGATAGCTTAAAACCTGCCCTGACTGGAGGTCAGAGAATTTTGATTTTTGCGTCTAAAATAGAGTGAGAGAAAATCAGCTCTAAAGATTTAGCGCGAGGTCCACGCTTGGCTGGTTAGCTCAGAAAAGGCTCATTTTAGAAGGGTTAAAAAGCACTTTCTGATTTTCTTTTTCTGCCAAAATAAAATTTAGGGCCCACTCATGCCAAAAATCCAAAAAAACCAAAATCGAGCAATGTACTAAAATTTTCATTTACCGAGACCTTAAACTGTGAACAGAACCTTTCGTTGACACTTCAAGCCCCAATACCCATATAAAAATAATTTCTCAAAATCAACTGGCCTTACAAAATAAGAGAGACAATCTGATAAAGGATCAGAGCATATTTTCCCTTTGGTGATCATTTTATCAGTTAGATCATAACTTTTTCTCTTGATAATGTATTGTTATTGAATGTTAAACCGAAAAACCATCAGGGATGGATGACACTTGTACTTACTAATAGATGGCTGATGAGGTGATATTCGGTAAAGAAATACCAAAGAAAGTGTTTCTAAAAACATTTGACACTTTTTCATATTTCTTTACCTCATCAGCCATCTATGTGCTGATATTGTCACAATTAAGAAAACTCAGTGATGTTTTCAAAGGTTTATATTGGGACTTTATCAAGGGATAATAAATTAAGTGATTCTGCCTAGACTGTGGATAGCTACTGTTATTGACTTTTCATTTTCAAACCTGGTTTCATTGGTGTTGGAACTTTATCAGAGTCCTGAGGTTTTCTGCCAGCTACTTCCTGGATAAAGGCACTTGGCTTCTCTGAGATTTCTTCTGTTTTCAACACAGGTTCCTCTTTTTCACTCTTATGATAAAGAATTTGATTTATTGAATAGCTTACTATCAATGATGTACAACAAGAAGAGACAAAAATCAACAAACAACTCAATAAATGAACCAACTAGTATTCATCATCGTGTAAACATAGGATCTTGCCCACCTTTTTCTCTTTGTCCTCCATCCTCTTCAATTCATTACCAAGATCTTCCCCACCAACATGGAGCTGTGCAGCCAAAAGTGATAATTGTCTAACAAGGGCAGATAGTTCTTGGTACATTGGTGGAAGACCATGGCCAACCTTGGGCTGTAATGGGGCATGGCTGACAAATGTCTGCAGTGCTCTAACTGCTCCCCTATGGGCTGCTGCAAGGCGACTCAATGTCTGGCTCTGCAGAATGATCATATAGTTATATAGTCAGCCCTAATGGACGCTAAGAGAAGGTTGTTTACCATTTTAAAAAGTTTAATATGGTTGGAGAGTAAAATAATGGAACTCTACTTTTTGGGTCATTCCAGCAGAAAATATTGCAGGAAAATAGAATTTCTGTTCCATTTCTATAAGAGCCATCCTTCAAGATTCCATATTCGTATTTCAGTAAACACAAAGGTTCAGCAAAGTATAAGATAATTTTCGCAAACATTAACTGTTTCAAGGATAATCATAACTACAAAATTTCTTGTGTTTTGATTTAAGAAAAGTTTTATATATCACAAATGAAATCACTAGCTCCGTGGTTGTCCGATTTTGTTAATCACTCATATGATTACAGACTGAATTGGACTCCACTCAGTCCTGTTACCATTACCAATCAAGACTCAGTAAGCAGCTAACTGAGATAAAATAGATGGTTCGACATGAAGTGACTGCAGTTAGTGTCTAACATTGGTGGTGTAGGTTTGAAAAATTTATATATATAAAAACACTGGAAGGTGTACTGTTGAACTGTCCAGGTAAGTGAAAGAATTGCTTTACACAGTAATACCTTTTTTGTGTGTTTTATTCCTCTCCCCTTCTTATTTAGCTCATCCTCAATTTCTTGAACCTGAAAAAGGAGGCAAATATGCACTTGATCAGAGAAGCATTCATAATAATTAGGGCTCCCACAAGTCACGTCTGATCTTCCACAGCAAATACACATAGATTTCAATGCTGGACTAGTCACTTTTCACGCTCACTTGCCCACTGAGCAAGAGCCCAGGCAAGTGACATTCTTTAACCCTTTAAGCCCCAATATGCACTTACAAATTCTCGAAACTGATCTTGCAGAATTAGTTGAGAGAATTTGATAAAAGATCAAAGCATTTTCTCTTTGGTGATCATTTTATTAACTCTCATAACCATTTTTCTTGGCAATATATGGATATTGTTAGGAGAAAATTGATGTTAGTCACTACTGGGACTGAGACAAGCTTGACAAAAATGTGTGAGCAGCAGCTTGTCTAAACGACAAGCTGGAATTAATCTTTTTTTAGACTGAATCTGTCATATGTTATTTATTAAATATTATTATTGGGTTCAAGAGTTACCCAACGTAAGATGTATAAGTATGTGTGTACCAAAGGGCATAGCTTTAAATTAGCCCATTGGGCTGAGATTCAGCAACGTGCAAAGAAAGTAGTGTCCGATAGTCCAGGGCTAGTGGATTCTGCTATCGGGCTAGTGAATTCTGTCGTTAACTTGCCCAACGGGCAAGTGAGGTTTTTTGAGCAGTTCCAATAACAGAAGAACTATGAAATCAATTCTGTTCGTCAAAAAGCGTCTGGGGCTAGTTGAAGTGATCATTTTATTAACTCTCATAACCATTTTTCTTGGCAATATATGGATATTGTTAGGAGAAAATTGATGTTGGTCACTACTGGGACTGAGACAAGCTTGACAAAAATGTGAGAGCAGCGGCTTGTCTAAACAATGAGCTGAAATTAATCTTTTTTTAGACTGACTCTGTCATATGTTATTTATTAAATATTATTATTGGTTTCAAGAGTTACCCAACGTAAGATGTATAAGTATGTGTGTACCAAAGGGCATAGCTTTAAATTAGCCCACTGGGCTGAGATTAAGCAACGTGCAAAGAAAGTAGTGTCCGATAGTCCAGGGCTAGTGGATTCTGCTATCGGGCTAGTGAATTCTGTCGTTAACCTGCCCAACGGGCAAGTGAGGTTTTTTGAGCAGTTCCAATAACAGAAGAACTATGAAATCAATTCTGTTTGTCAAAAAGCGTCTGGGGCTAGTTGAAATGACATCTGGGCTAGTAAATGCTAGCTTCAGCTTGCCTGAATGGCAAGCTGTAAAAATGACTTTCTTTGCACCCTGTTAAGTGAAGACTTCAACTGCCATTGTGATCTAAATGGGGTAAGAGTTATGGATCCTTGTCTGGAACAAGGGCTTGAAGGTTAAGTAAGACCACTTAACTTAATTAAGCAAACCAACCAATATTGCTGTCCTGGCGGAGATTTTCTGTGTTAATTAGCCATGGCAAATATTTATCATACTGACAATATATTGATCTAAACCAGTGTTCTCCCCAAAGATTAGCTCAGCAGGTAAAGGACCATCCCTGAATGGTAAGGCCAAAAATATGCACCAGAGGTGGGGGGGTAGGGGGTGGTGGGGGTGGCTTCGCACTCAAAAAGGCTTTTATTTTCAAGAATCCTGTCAACCAATTGACTGAAAATTATCTTGAACGTCTCAAAACAGAGAATTTTATGAATGTAGGCTGCCTTTACTGCTAGGGTCAATTTAGTAACAAGTCGCAGAAGTCGCACACTTTTCCTGCTGGTCGAGAAAGTCTAGAATTGGGACAAGCCCACAAAAAAATTGTTAGCCTGCAGTGCTTCGGAAGGTACCACTCAACATTCAAATAAAGTAAGCAGAGAGAATAGCTGTGCATGCTTTTTGTTTTTCCGTATTTACTTCCTTTTCTTTTGAGGATCGGCTTGGATCACAACTTGCATATTTTGTGAAACAACTTATTTAATCTTGGTAACACTTCACACGGTAAATTTTACGGTTACCTCCTGATAAGGAGAAGACTGCAAAACAAGTCTGATCTACATGTTGTAGCCCAGACTGAACACTTACACTGTATGTGGTGTAAAATGGTGAAATAACTAGAAAGTCTACTGATTTATCTTTTAAAGGTACCTGTCTTTGTAGTACATAAAGCATCCTCGCAGATCGGGCAGCCTGCTCTTCAGATCTCACTACCTGCCGCTGGTCAACATCATCATCTGATAATCTCACTTCGTCACCTCTTCTTCTCTTCAGCCTTTTATCCTTATTTCTCAAGACCTCAGGTCTTTCATTTTTTAATCCCTCCATTTGCATCATGTACTGATGAAGTTCTTTCCGAAGTTTTCGTATTTCATTTGCTTGACTCCTTTCCCTGTCTGATTCAAAACCATCATCTTCCCTTGTTGCAGGGTAAAAGTACATCTCATGTTGTTTTTTAGCTGCCGCTTCTTGCTTTTTTGCCACCTGATGTACCCTTTCCCTCAGAGTAACACCATTTTGTGATTGAACACTTTGAGTTTTAGATTTACCTCTCTTCCCTTTACCTTTCTTCCCTGTAGTTCCCGACCCCTTGGATGATGTAGTAACATGCTTGTTTTCAGTCTCCTCAAATTGTGACACTAATATGTTATCACTTCCAAGTTCTTTCACCTTCTTAACATCCTTTTTAGCAAGATGAACTGCAAGAGCGAGTCTGTCACTTGACAGTGAAGATGAAACAGAAGCCACATGCAGAGGATAAACACTTGGAATATGAGGTGTTGCATGTGGAGTTTGGGACTGTTCAGATATTTTTTCTATAACTATAGGCTGTGGCTTTCTAAACCTTGTTGTTAATTGACTCTCTGTAGTAGGAACTCCTAAGTTAAACTGCAGCTGGTTCATTTGATGAGGAGCAGCGTCAGTATGCGATGTGCCTGGCATGAAGCGATGTGGAACACTCACTGCATGATTAAATCCAGGTTGTATACTAGCTGGAACTGGAAAGTTAGTGAAGCCCACTTGGGTTGGTCTGGAAAGGACACTGGTTGACATCCTAAGTGAAATCCAAAAAAGTAATTTTGTTTGAGATGTTGTAATAAATTGTCATTCTCAATAATTAGAGACCTTAAGATTCTAAGACGAGAATGACAACATGTACAAGTTTTCTCAATACTGAGTACTGCTTGAGCATGAGTTTTTGCCAGACTGTTATATATACTGGTGGAAGTAAGATATCAAACATTAAAATTTTTATCTTTTTATGCAGATTGGGAGAGGGCTTAACTTCCTTGAATAAAGATTTGAAAGTTTTTTGGTGAAAAAAAGGACGATGAAGTATTCAGGGGTGACTATTTTTTGACAATATGCAAAAAATTTTTACTCATTCTCTTGCTGGAATCAAAAGGTCTCTATTATGTGGGACAAGGAAAACCCATGACCTCCCTCCCAGTAAAATACCCCCTCTGAGGAAACCTACGGTATATAAATGATGGCTAAATAAGCTAAACTTTGGTAGGAGGCTTTGAAACCACTAAAGATGCCCCCAGCACTATTAAAATCATTAATACGCGAGGTCTCATATTGCATAATCCTAAAAATGGCCTTAAAAATAAAGGATTTGTTTGCAAATTCAGGTGATAGATTCAAAAAGATAAATACTGACAGTCAGTGATGTATTATCACTGTTAAACAGTACAGCTACATTAGGGTATAGAATGGTCTACCCGAAAAAATTATGGCAAGTTTTGTAAATAATAACTGACTCTTAATAATTCTTATCTGTATATTTTAGAATGCCAGTTCTGGACTGGAGTCTTGGGCTCACTAGGATTTACACCATCTTGAAGCTTAACACATTGATTATCTCTGTTACTAGAAATTAATGAAGGAGTAATTATACAGTAGGTGAGGGATTAGGAGTCCTTGTGCAGGTATCGGGTCACAAATTGTGTAAAAAGAACAAAACAATATATCTCCCAAAGGTCGATCATTTGCATTGTTTTGTTGCGCAGGTACATGCAGGAGGACCCAATATTAGATGCTCCATGTCCCCCAATTTCCTTTTCAAATAATTTATGTCCGGTTCGTTATACCCTGAATACGTCCTCCCTAAATGATTTTAACAGAGCAGAGGTGTAGCGAAAGAAGATTGAGCGAGCTCAAGAAAACATATCTAACGGTAACTTCCCAGAGTTAATACTCTAATTTTCCAGTTTCTTTACCGACCTCTTCCTTTTTAGAATAATCCTCCGTCTTTGAAAGGTTTCTGCGATGACGTGAGGTGGGTATAAAATGACCAAAGCAAAACTTTAATTCTTCGTCCAAGGAAACCGCCATGTTTTTTTACCGCCATCTTGTTTGAACCATCACGTGACTAAATCGCTGGGTTTCAGTCTCCTTCGTGAGAAAGAAGGGCGTCGCCCAAATCGCCCAACAAAGCTCTTGCATGCCTACCTGGCCTGTGAGGTCTGCGAGACGCGGACAGTCTGCAAACGCCACGCCAACGAGCTTACCCTATTCCACCTGAACTGCCTTTTTAATAGAAAACTGTTGAAGATCACCTAGCGTGATAAAGTCCCTGACACCAAAGTCGTCTCTCTAGCTGGCCTCCTAAACATTCACACTCAGTGCTCAAAAAAGCACAGCTTAGGTAGGCCGGCCATCTAGTCAGAATGCCTGACACACGCCTCCCCAAGAGACTGTTCTATGGCGAATTGGCGGAGGGGAAACACTCAAAAGGTGGAAAAAAGGAGCGTCTTAAAGCATTGCTGAAAAGCTTTGATATAGGTGTTGAAACCTGGGAGACCTTGGCTCTAGACCGACCTACCTGGCGTAGCAAAGTCAACAAACGCAATGCCCTTTTCGAGCAAAACAGGATAGCAGGAGCTCAGAGGAAGCATGAGCTGCGCAAATCCAAAGCGATTTCCCTGACACCTGCTCAAGAAATTCACCAGAGTCCGGAAAGCGACAGAGCCTATAGAATATAGTTCAAAGCCACTTGAACATAGCATTGCCAAACGTGTTTTAGTATTTAAACGGTAGATATAGGCATGTTTTTATCGCTTAAAAATTTTTCAGCTGTTCAGATTTCCTAGCTGCAAGTCTAGTGATCCGAAAATTATAGGGAACAAAACTTACCTTTTCGAGAAGGCTCCCGAAAATTCCAGGTGACCTTTTTAGGATTAAAATCTGTTAAAAATGGGCAATTATACCATTTTTTAGGTGTTCGAAAATCCTAGGATAGGCAGGCAAGCAAGAAATTTTACAAAAAATGTTCCGAAAATTCTAGATCTCAAATCGTCTTTCGAACAGATATTTTCCGAAAATTGACGTTGGGTGCCCCTGACATAATTTTATGCGCGGTTTCTGTCGCAAGGACATAAAGAGTTTATATGACTAGTATTCAGGGGTAGTTCTCCTCACCCGGGATTGGCTCCTGTCTATGTAGAGGGGTCAGTTGAACAGAAAAAACAAGAGGACAATCTTCCAGCCCAACGCGTTTTTTAAAAATTGTAAGGAAGCAGCTAAATGAGTGAAAGTGGTCCAGTTCATAACTCTACCATTAAATTCCCAAGGGTGGTTTGTTGAAACTAATAAAGCGCGAAATAGAGGAAATTTTGGCCAGTTTTATAGAGGCTTGTACAAATAAAAGGGGTTAATACGCTTGCAACGAAAACACGAAGCTTGAGTTTTTTCCCTACTATGCTCAACTGAACCCTCTGCTAGCTGTCAGCATCAGAAACTCAAAGGTCCCCTGTTTTGTTTTTCAATAGGATTGTACGTTTCAGACTTCATGTAAAAAAGCAGTACGACTACGCCTTGAGGAGGAGGGGGGAGAGACACTTACCAGCTATATAGATGCGATTTTTTTTAACAAGAATTCTTAAAAAACAATACAAAACCAAAGAAAGAGGAGGGGGCCCAAATGAAGGTTACGAATGGTGAAGTTGAACTCTCATAACAGCCGCCTTAATCAACGAGAACGTTCCCGTCCGTCAAAATGACTACTAACAGTCAATCTTTTCTCTCTTTCATCCTACTGGACTTAAAATAAAAGCTTAAAAAGTACGAACTCGTACATAAGTACAACTCATTGCGTCGGGGGAGAAGCGTTCCATCAAGCAAACAATAAAACTCTTGACTGCAAGTCAGTATAGAGGACGTAGGAGAAATTCATTCGCTCTTTGTTCAAACTGTCAAAGATTGTCACCTATCTCTTTTTTGGGGGCTTAGAGATGCATGTAAGCAACTGTTGGATCAATCTGTGAAAGAATTTTCACCTTACAAAAATTACACAATCTTGCAGATCAAACCAGCAAACTTTAGTTAAATATCTTTTATTAAATAATTTGCACCCCATTTAGCTGATCGTATCAGTAAATAGTACATTTAATTCCCTAAGAACAATGAGGAGAGAGTTGGTGTGATTCAAAAATAACTAGCTCAGAATTCAAAGATATTTACAATTCTGTGAAATACAAACAGCTATGGGCTACAGTTGGGTAAAACCATTATTGCACTAGACTAAAATGCATAATTTTCCAGTATCATATCATCAAAAGTCCTTCTTGCCGGCTCTTCCTCTGACCACTGCTTGTTGTCTACGCTTTCTATCAGCAACATTAGCAGCGCCATTTGGACGTAAAACTGGAAGAGAAACACTTTCACTGACATAGTGCAGTCTCCCTGCTGCCAGTCTGTGAAACAAAAGAAGAAATCAATATCAGTGAGAATCAAATGGTTATTACCATAAAGACTTGGGATTTTGGTCTTTTTCTGGAGATGCAGTGTTAGACTAAATAAAATAAAATGTATGGTCAGGTATGTTGGTGGGCCATTCTTATCAGGCAAGATTTTTTTATCATGCTCCAGGAAAGGAACTCATTTACCATGCTTAATCCTCTCACAGGTGAGAGAGACGTGTGCATAATGGTGCTGTAATAAAGTAAATCTGCCTATGTCCAATACATTTCTACCTTAGGTCGGGCATTGTGACCGGACAGATCAAATATCAGACTATAATTATGCAGGCAAAGATTTGCAAGGCAATTAAACTCAATATGATGCGTGTCTGATAATTTTTCTGGTTTGTCAGGCTAAAACGGTTACCTTTCTTTAAAAAAAGTGTTTTCTGGCCTACATGACGTTCTAAGAGCCAGTGGAGTGTCCCAAATTGGTGAAATTATAACAACTTTTTTCATGTGCCTAAGATTGAAAAGGCTACTTGGATACTACGGAAGATACTATTTAAGTTGATTGATACCCACACCAGCATTAGTGGTTCTGCCCAGACTGGCCACACCTCTGACAAGACATAACAGTTATGGTCCTTTAAGTACCTGTACACACAAGCTTTTAAAACTAACCTTCCTGAGTGTGTCTGCTCTCTTGAGTGTAATCGTGGCAACGATCTTGTGGCTGGAGTGTTGTGTCTGGAGAGACATGAAAAGCAATGAGCAAGGATGCAGATTGAAACACTTGTTTCAGGATTTACACAAACTGGCTAAGTCACATTTTATTTCCATAGCAAAAAACACAAAGGCAGATTAATTCTCCCAGTTTAACTGCCAGATGTTAAGATATCTCAACCAACTTATTTCATAGATGCACAGTGTGATCAGTGACGCTTAACCTTTTTTCTGAGGAAAATTGCCTTCTGTGATACCATTCAATGAAATCATACAAATTTCTATCTCACTTTGTCTCCCACATGACTGGTCATTTACAAAGTTACAAGTATATTAATAAATGCCTGGTCGACTGCTCCGCAGCCGAAGGATGATGATGATAAATAAATACCAGCAATGAAGGGGGTGGATAGGCGAACAGATGGGTGGATTTTTAAAATATTTTTGCCCGGTTTCGGATTCAAAGCGAGATTTTAAAGGATTTCCGGATCCTGCAATTGCAGCGGATTGCAGATTCATCTATTTTTTGGGCACGGATTTTGGACTTTACATGTAATTGATATATTTTTGCCCGGATTTCAGACTTAGGGCGAAAATGGAAGGGCGGATTTGGCTAATAAATCGTAACGGATCGGCGGATTTGTATACCCCTATTCACCCCCCTCAGAAATAATAAAAAAAATATATAATCCCCCAAAATTAAGCTACCACCTGAGAAATAATTTCCCATCACGATTATATAGTAACAAACAATGCAATGTAGTCATAATTGTGTCTCCTCATGGATGTCTTTTTAACAGACAGGTGTACTGTCCGTAATTTTGGAGGACTTGGCTTTTGAACCTTTTATGTCCATAAAATTATAAGAAGGTATGGAATTTGAGGGCAAAAAATATGAATATCCACCCCATGAAATTTCCATTGGACATGCCGAGGAGGAAAAAGAGATTAAAGGGCGGAGCGGGAGGGGCCTTGTTGCCCAAATTCTTAAAGGAAAGACTCAAACTAAGACTGGAATTTTCAGAGGCTTGGAGTTCAAACCCAACCAAACCTACAACTTGGGGATATTTCTATAACAACAAAAATAAAGATGTTGACCAATATAGTATACCTTGCAGTTGATGGCACCTCCTCTGCCATGTATGATTTTGCCAAAAGATATGCATTTGGTGTCCATTTGTCAGAATACAAAGCATCGTTCAAGTCTGATTTCAGTTTTGATAGCTGGAAAAAATCAAAAATAAAAATCTCATACAGTACATGCAAAAGCATGGAAACCAAAAACATGCAATGTTATTGGAGGGCAAACTTAATTGAAAATGTAAATTTTAGGACACAGCCAAGTTCCTAAATGAGGAAAAAGTTTCATCAGCAGTCATGTTCAACTGAAGATGCAATATCTCCTTCATGTTGTTTTCGATTTATGTGGACTTACGTTTGTTTCATTATGTAAATGTAAATCTAGCATGTTCTAACTTCAAAGTTTGCAAATGAAAGCCTATTGCGTACCATTACATGAAAGCTATTGTCTACATGCACATGATGTAGAACCAGCAGTTCTAACGTTTGTGGATGACCATTTGATCGCTACAAGTAAGTTTCAGTTATTCTACTGGCATGGCTGGAAATAATTTTTTATCACCTCTTGTTCCTGTCGTTTATTTGTCTCTTGTTGATGTTTGATTATAGCTTTGCATTCAACCAAAGTAGGAGATCGTGGTGCACTGTCTGTGGGCATGTGGACTTTAACAGTCTTATCCTTGATTGTGACTACAAGAACTGACTGTCCAACAGAAACACCCTGCTTTACTCCTGATGGTGGTGTGCTATTTAATGAGAATGCATATGGGGAACTGAGGTTTGAATGCTGCTGCTCATGAGAATGCTGTGACTTTGTCTTTGATCTGCCTGAGCTCTTGGGTTTTGTGTTTAAGCTTTTCGCCGACAAGGGAGGTGTGGGCGTGGCCTTCACTGCTGCGCCTTTTTTACCTGATCCACTCCTAAAAGATAAAGTCAAGAAAATAAGACAATCATTTTTTAAAAAGTTTTTGATTGTGCTGATGGCAGATATCATTATGTGTATTCAACATTTTAGGGCATAATATATACTGATTGAATAATAATACTTTGAAAGCGACTAAAAGTCTATAATGGCCCATGGAACCCTCCTTAACCGCTAATAAACTTTACGTTCTGAACAAGCCCAACAACAAACCAAACCTACCAAGGAATGCCAGGACCAGATACAAACAGGTCATACAGTGTGCCCCTGACACATTCATGCCTTGTTTTAAAGCTGGTTTCATTTTGGAAGGAAAACAAATTTAAGGCACATCTTCAACAAAAGGTTATTATTTTTGAAAGAACAGTACAAGGGTTTTCGTTAGAAGCTGGGACATGAGTTCTGGCACCTGTGTAGTAAAAACCCTGATAATACACCTCAGTACACTTTTGTAAACTTACTCAATCTACCGTACCCCCAAATCATATGTCAATCATTTAAGTCTACTTTTACATGTATATTCATTTATTTAGGGACTAGAAGTTTTTGTGGTTTGTGGAAAATGGGAGAATAGTCTACTGGATATTGCAACAGCTCGGCAGCATAAAGTGTAAAGAGAGAAAACTAACCAGCCTAGACCTCACAAGAAACATGCAAGGACTACACTGGTATAGTGTCTCACTCCACCAACATCCTTCAAAATACCAAACACTGCTTACGCAAAGACCATTATGACTATTACTAACTAGTAATAACCAAAGGTTACGGAGTGTGGGTGACAATGCCAAAGGTCAAAATCCCCTTGTGCTTTATTCAAGTTTCACGTGATAGATGGTCAAAACATGTGACACTCCACCAACATCCTTAAAAATACCAAACACTGCTTACACAACAACCATTATGACTATTACTAACTAGTAATAACGAAAGGTTACGGAGTGGATATTGCAACAGCTTGGCAGCATAAAGTGTAAAGAGAGAAAACTAACCAGCCTAGACTTGACAAGAAACATGCAAGGACTACACTGGTATAGTGTCTCACTCCACCAACATCCTTCAAAATACCAAACACTGAGCTTACACAAAGACCACTATGACTATTACTAACTAACTAGTAATAACCAATCCTTTTGTGCTTTATGCAGCCGAATATTAATCCTTTTGTGCTTTATGTGGCCGAATCAAAAGATATCTACACGTAAATTCACATGTGTAGAGATCATGTTTTCATACTAATTAGCTCAGCTGGTATTTCATTGGTGCTTATATAATTAAAACTACATACACTGTATTAGAGAGCGAAAATAAATAGGAGTTAAACATAGCACACGACAAGAATCACTCCCTTCAAAAGGGTGATGACTTAAAATTTAGCAGTACTGTGCTAGTTAAAAAATAACATAATTTTTAATCCAAATTCTAGAAGAATTTTAATGTTTATCAAATACATTGTAGCTACATGTACTGTACTTCCAATCACACCTTTTATTTCTCTACTCAATCTACCGTACCCCCAAATCATATGTCAATCATTTGAGTCTACTTTTACATGTATATTCATTTATTTAGGGACTAGAAGTTTTTGTGGTTTGTGGAAAATGGGAGAATAGTCTACTGGATATTGCAACAGCTCGGCAGCATAAAGTGTAAAGAGAGAAAACTAACCAGCCTAGACCTCACAAGAAACATGCCAGGACTAAACTGGTATAGTGTCTCACTCCACCAACATCCTTCAAAATACCAAACACTGCTTACGCAAAGACCATTATGACTATTACTAACTAGTAATAACCAAAGGTTACGGAGTGTGGGTGACAATGGCAAAGGTCAAAATCGTTTTGTGCTTTATGCAAGTTTCACATGATAGATGGTCAAAACATATGTGATCAGATTACAATTGAAGAAGGTCCAAACGCACATGATCAGATTGCTTTCTGTCCATTCCATTCAATCTTACACATACGTGCCATGCTATCCCACTATAGTTTCATATTGAAAAAATCCAAGCTATATGTACATTGTACACACTAGGTCAACAGATCATTTACTTAACCCATTCGCTCCTGGAGATTTTGCCGAGAAACGCGTTTTGAAGCTAGTCGAGTGGTTTTCTGGTCACTGTCGTGCTATAAAGAGCTAAAACTTACCACAAACCGGTTTACAGGTCGTACACTTGGCAGCCTTCTGATCCAGATGCAAAATATCAGCTTGCAAAGTTCGGGCATGCGCAGAAAGCAAGTTTTTGGGTTTAAAAGTGACACAGCAGTCTTGACTTTTACTTTTCGCTTTCTCTCCTCCCTTCTTTTTTCGCTTTTCTTGCCTCATTTTTTTTTTCTCTTGCTGGGCATTTAGTAGGCTTCATTTTGGTGGGAAGAGTTTTTAGGATCTTAGGATTAGGTGAAAGGAAAGGTAGGTGGGTAATGGAACAAGATTTTCATGGAGATTTTCAGGTCCTTGTCACATGGTTTTTTGCTTCTTTCCCGGTGTCCTTGACTGAATTGTGCTCATTCTGGTATGGTTTGAAAGATCTCTTCACTCTGCACAAGTTAGCGAAGAAAGTTGTCCTTGACCGTTAAAACTGATGACGTCACAAAGGGTAGAAAGGACCTGGATCCGCACGGGTGGTTACGGCGGTTCAGGGGCGAATGGGTTAAGTTATGAACAGTCAAAATGAGTAATTTTCTGCTCTTTTTGCACTGACAATCAAAACAAGCATTACAAGAGAAAGGTAAAAGGTGAAAATTGGCAATATGAGCACTGTATTAGCACCACATTCCTGCTAAAATGTTCTGCAATTGGTATAGGATTTAATGGAGCACACATTTTAGGCATCCTACTGATGAACAGTTGGGACACGTACATATATTTTTTAGCAATTACTATAATTTGCAGTCTGTCTACTTTGAATTCATCTTAAAATCATGTAACTTAGAATTACTCTCTGCTCCATCAAAGAACCACTCCAAGCCTCCAGCTTAAAATGAGGGGTTTTTACATGCAACAACTCAGATAACTCACAAAATAATGATAATAATAATAATAATAATAACAATAATAATAATAGTAATAATAATAATTATAATATACAAGTGCTAGGAGAATTCAACAAAGTCTTAATGCTCTTACAAGTAATCATCAATAAAATAATATAAAAAAATATATAATAGTCCAGTGCTACGGATAAAAACTACTATAAAATTAGACCGGCACCAAAAAAAATGAAAAAATAATCCTTTTATCTGTACCTCAAAGATCAGAGATATAAAGGATGACATGGCCATGCAGAGAAACAACAAATTCCTCTTCTCATGTTAAAAATATTTCGTTCTCAACAAATTAGAAAAGAAAATTTTGTAACTGCAAGTGATAATAATGTAGCCGAATCAACAGATATCTACACCTAAATTCACATGTAAAGAGATAATGTTTTCAAACTAGTTAGCTCACCTCGTATTTCACTGGTGCTTATATAATTAAAACTACATACACTGTATTAGATAGCAAAACAAAATAGGAGTTAAGAGCTATTTTCTGAGAAAATCGAGAATCGCAAGACACTCGTCAAAAAATCGAATTTTTTATTATTTTACCAAAACATCCCTTTTAGTGACCTTATTTAAGGAAAAATAGTTTTGGGTTCAAACGATTCATTTTAAAGGAGAAATTAAAAAAAGTTTGAAAAATCGATTTTATTCCTGTTTTTCGAACAAAACACGGCAGGATGCAATGGCAACTTCGAGAGAAAGGTGAACGCGTAAGAAACATTCCCTGACACTGAAACTTCACCGAATTATTATTTTGTTCTTACTCTTGAAAACCTTAAAAGAAAATTTGAAAAACAATGTCTTATATTTTTATAATCGACAAGTGTAAAGAGGTCATATTTGTGACGTTAGACGTGCTAGAAAATGAAGGCCAACTTTGACTATTAAAAAAGGCCTCTGGTATATGCCGCTTGATCATAAAATCAATATAAAATGGAACCTTGGCTTTTGTACTAACTTACTGGAAAGTTTTAGCTCTGGAAATCAAATACCATCCTGACACCAAAGCAAGCGGTGAGAGCAATTGAATTGGGAAATTTATGCAAATTAGACGGCTTGCGGACGGTTGTCAAACTAAAATAAAGGTTTTACATGAAAGGATTACTCACCATTGCTTGTAACACGTTTTTACGGCAAGGAAAGTTATTTCCAACTTCTGTTGCGTCAGTTTGAGTCACAAAATCCATAATTTTAAGCCAAAAGGTCCAAAAGACAAACGTCGTTTGCTCAGCGACAGCGCCAGAATCCGCCGTGAATCAAAAATGAAGTCACAACACGTCACTGCGGTCCTTTAGAAGCAAGAGTTGCAAGAGTTTTTACTTCAGTCAGGAGGCCAAAAGATTGAAAATTCATCGCAAACTAATGACTTCGATTTTGAAAACCTTTCATCACTTGATCGCTTTGCGGCTGATAATAAACATCGCACAAGATCAGTATGACCTTTGGCGTGTGACCGAAATCGGTCACACGCTTAAGTCACGTTAGCATACTGTCACGAATTTTAATACGATTTTTCACGTTTGCTTTCGACAAAAAATAGACTCATCTCAATAAAATCAGGCCTGCTTTATTTATTTATTTTTAATTTCTTTGATAGCCTGCAGAACTTGTTCCCCATGCATCGCGCGCGTGTCTCGCTTCCCAGTCCGCTTCGCGGTGCTAGCGTGAAAAGCGCAAAAAACTGAAATTGACTCCTGTTCTGCAATTGATTTCTTTTATAGACACCTTCTAGGCATTGACAGGCTGTGAAAAAAGTGTATTTTTATTATTATTATTTTTTTTGAAGTGCTACGTCCTTTTCCTATAAATTTCAAACGTGACTGCTAAAAGACTGTTTGGAACCCATGGATGGAGAAAAGCTGTTCGGAGAGAAGGTCAACCTTCCCGCCGAGCCAACTTTTGCGAGCGTTTATATGAGGAAAAAACTGACCACTTTGTCCGAGTCAACAGTGCTTGCGCATGCTGTCTTTGTCTAGCCTTGACCGTGTTGTCCCAGCTAGCTGGGCGAGCCAAAGTGGAGAAATATTAGCCGGGCTAGAAGGGTGAGGCTACCACTACCGGCTCAGTGGAGGGCTGACTTCCGGAAGCCCTCAACCCCGCCCACTACTGGTAGTAAGGCGTCTATCCGAACCAACCTTTTTGTTTCTCATGTAAATGGCTTGGCAAGTTTTGTAAGGAAATGGAGGAAAAGTTGGCTCGCCCAGGGTAGCTTGGGAGGTGAGTAAACACCAGATAACCCCAATAATAAGCACAAACTTTGATTGTCAGTTAGATGTCTACTATTTTAAGTAAGTCACCTTGCATGTGATTGTCGCATCCATGCCCCCTTCCAGATCCCCTTTATTATCGGTAAGCCTCTGATAGGTCAAAGTAATACAGTCGTACCTCCAGTAAGCGACCACCAAAAATGCAAAGACTTAGTGGTCCCTAACGGAGGTGGTCGTTTAGAAGAATCGGACCACATGGGGTCTATTCCGAGAAGAGGTCCAGGCACATTCTATTAAATGGCGGTGTAACAAATTCCTGGCAAAATATTATCTTTTACCTCTTTTGACAAATACAGCTTTTAAATCATGCTCAATTTAAAGAGATTCAGGTGAGTGAGATATAGAATAGTCTAGAATCACAACAGTATCTTCACTTTGTTGGCTACATCTACTAAGTTAGGATATGTGTAGTTCCACGATGTCACTAAAGGTCTTCATATTTTCTAAGGAACATAGTGCACACAGCAAAAATAGAGAGCAGAGAATGCGTCAGCTGGTCGCTCATGGAAAACAATTAACCGTGGACGCCCAAAAGTGGTCGCAGTCACTTACAGAAGGTGGTCGTTTACTGGAGGTTCCAACTGTAAGGCTTTGACTGGGAAAATTTGGTCTTTTGGATTGGCGGTCGCACATGGAGGTTCGACTGTGTTAGGTCTATTACAGTATAAGCCACCATCACCTCACTGTGAGTGACGAGAGCCAGGAAAGTATAGTATACACTCCCTTAGGATACACAGAATCGTTGTTTTGAGGTCCCGTTTAGCGAAATGGATCATTCAAGGGAGGTGCTGAAGTCCCATAGTGAAATTTATAAGGTTTATGGGTTTTTAGTGCAAGACGAAACACAATACTTTAGGGCCCTGTTGTTCAAACGTTGAACAACAGGAAATCACTATCAAGCGAATAAGAAGAAGCAATTATGTTACTTATTGGATATAGATTTATCCAGGGGAAAGCGTTAGTCCCGGGGCGTTAGTCAACTTTTCGAACATACAGCCCCTCAGTCACTCTCCTCCGCAGACTTACCCTGGGCGACCAGGATAGGGGAATATAATACTCGACCTTCCTTGCATCATCGCGAGAGCCTATAGCCTTCACTTTCTTTTGGCTCGTCCTACAAACCTACCCAACGTTCGTGGGACAGGAAGGTCTGCTTGCGAGGCTTTGGAATCTAGGGAGACTATGGTAGCATGGTGCAAATAGCCGGGATGAGCTACTTTGTCCACACGAACCGAGAGGATTGGGTCTGCTAGAAGAAATCAGGTGTAGCTTTCTGTGATAAGTAATATTCCAACAGTATAGGATCATAGTTTGAAGCCATTTCACAATCACTAGTTTCCGCGCACCTCTACCGGCGAGTTGTGGACAAAAGCAGCTGATAGCTGTATGCGAACCTTTTTTCCACAAAATGGTTTCTGGGTTTTCGTATTTGACAGTGTCATGTATTGATTTTTTTTAATCTTAGTCGAGGTCTTTTTAATTATGTACTGTCTATCTGACTGACTGTTTCTTTGTGTTTTTTTTTCTGGTAATAACAGGTTTCATAATTTGGTCCTGATTGGGGTTATAGGCCCCTGATCGTGAGCAAATAGGGAAAAAATCAACAAGCAAAACCAAAGTGAACTATAGCGTTGAGTCCGTTGGCCACGGAGAATTGGTATTATTCTGCAAGTTCTTTACTACAGCAAGAGAGTATACTCCGTTGACTATGGGACATTGGGCCGGGGGAACTTAGTATTTTGACCCGCCATAGGGGAGGAGGGGAGGGGGAGGGGGAGGGGGTACTCTGGCCAGATTCCAAGTCACGGGGATGATCGAAGTATGTTTTTTTCTTGGTTTGAAAATATTTTGAACAAATTTTTAATTTTTAGCTGTGGCTTTACTTAAGTATTCAAAATATTCGTTCTTTTTTGGTCTTAATTTTCGCTTCCACGGATCACTCACGACACTTGGAATCCGAGGTACCCCTCCTGTTTAGTACTTCGAAGGCAAAAAAGCTGTTTCAAAGCCTAGTAGGTAAATAAAAGAAAAATAAATATGCATGGATGTTTCTACTGCGATGAGACGATTTCTTGTCAAAAAATGTGAAAACTGTATTAAAATTGCTGGCAACAGCTACGAAAATTTCGTGACAGCATGCTGACGTGACTAAAGCGTGTGACCAATTTCCGGTCACACCAAAGGTCATACGATCTTATGCGATGTTTATTATCAGCCGACGAACGATTGAAGTGATGAAAGGTTTTCAAAATCGAAGTCATTAGTTTGCGATGAATTTTTATTCCTTTTGCCTCCTGACTGAAGTATAAACTCTTGTAACTCTTGCTTCGACGTGTTGTGACTTTATTTCGATTCACGGCCGGATTCGGACGCAGTTGCTGAGCAAACGTACGTTAATTTGTCTTTTGGCTAAAAATTATATATTTTATTGTGACTCAAAACGACGCAACAGAAGTTGGAAATAACTTTCCTTGCCGTGAAAACGTGTTACAAGCAATGGTGAGTAATCCTTTCATGTAAAACCTTTCTTTTAGTTTGACAACCGTCTGCAAGCCGTCTAATTTGCATAAATTTCCCAATTCAATTGCTGTCACCGCTTGCTTTGGTGTCAGGATGATATTTGATTTCCAGAGCTAAAACTTTCCAGTAAGTTAGTACAAAAGCCAAGGTTCCATTTTATATTGATTTTATGATCAAGCGGCATATACCAGAGGCCTTTTTTAATAGTCAAAGTTGGCCTTCATTTTCTAGCACGTCTAACGTCACAAATATGACCTCTTTACACTTGTCGATTATAAAAATGTAACACATTGTTTATCAAATTTTCTTTTAGGATTTTCAAGAGTAAGAACAAAATAATAATTCGGTGAAGTTTCAATGTCAGGGAATGTTTCTTACGCGTTCACCCTTCTCTCGAAGTTGCCATTGCATCCTGCCGTGTTTTGTGCGAAAAACGAGCATAAAATCGATTTTTCAAACTTTTCCTAATTTCTCCTTTAAAATGAATCGTTTGAACCCAAAACTATTTTTCCTGAAATAAGGTCACTAAAAGGGATGTTTTGGCAAAATAAAAAAAAATTCAATTTTTTGACGAGTGTCGTGCGATTCTCGATTTTCTCAGATAATGGCTCTTAAATATAGCACATGACAAGAATCACTCCTTCAAAAGGGTGATGACTTAAAATTGAGCAGTACTGTACTAGTTAAAAATTAACATAATTTTTAATTTTATCCAAATTCTAGAAGAATTTTAATGTTTATCAAATACATTGTAGCTACATGTACTGTACTTCCAATCACACCTTTTATTTCTCTTTGCACTTGATCCTGAAGCTTGCTGCAAAGTACTTTTGCTAGATGTTTCTTTGACTGGGTGTTGTAAAGGTGGCTTCTCTTCATGCCTGGACTTTGACACGTCTAGAGTTTCTGTTAACAAATCTTGAACTTCCTCATCTACAAATAAAGGAAGCAAATGAAACCAATGAACTCCACAATATCTCATTTCACTTCCCATGAAATAACATACAGGTACAATGTACCAGTACCACTGTCTGTCATAGAGGTAAAACGTTCCAAAATGACCTGATTCTGTACACTATGACTTCTCAGGCTTATCACCGACTGCAGAATCTTGCAGTTTGAAATTCTCACTTTCAGTGTTCAATATATACAGACTGAGACATATACACAGAGAAAGTACATGATTCTATATACCTGCCACAAAAGTTTTTTGAGAACAAAAGGTATGATATTTTAATTTCAGAAGATTAATGAAGGCATTCCTAAGAGTTCAAAAACATCTAGCTAAAAGCTGAGACCCATTCATTACAAGACTGAACCTAACATTTTAAAAAATATATAATACCATATTCCCTTGAATAATAGTCATCCCTCAATAATTAATCGCCTCCCTCGAATAATCACCCCCTACCCCTCTTGCCATCTTCTCTTTCTTTTATAATACATGTAACTTCCCTGTTAAGTTGAAGAGGATTCTGATCCAGCAAAACTGATCAGTGACGATTCAAGCTCTGATGCAGAGGATATTGACATTGAAATTTAACCACGGAAACAAATTTGGAACACTTAGAAAGCCCATGTTTAGTTTATTTGATGTGATCATTTTTTGATTTAATGGGAAAATAAACAAAATATACAGGGCATGGCTTCCAGTGAGCAATATTTGAAATAATCGCCTTCCCTTTAAAAATCCCTCCCCTTTTGTGTGAAAAAAAATTGCCCTCGACTATTTTTTGAGGAAATTACAGTGCACTGAAAATCCAAATGAGATACATACAAAATCCATGCCTGGATGAAACTCAGAAAACGCACAGATATAAATAGTAATTGTGCAAAGGCCAACAAAGCTTCCCTCTTAGAAAACACGTGTGACTGCGAATCAATCACGGGTAATAAATAAAACCGCTCCCGAGACAATTAGGAGAGAACCCTCCAGCTATACAGCAAACAACTGTAGTTGCATATTTTGATCCTATTAAAATAAATTATGTTAAATTGAATAAAATATTTTGTCTTTGAACTGAGAGTAAAAAGAAGAGGTTCACCTGAGCCAGTAACTTGCAAAGCATGACTTTCATCAGGAACTGAAGAAACATCATCTGTAGAAAGAAATTAACTTTACAAACTTTTCACAGAACACTTTCTGAATTAATCAGTTATTGCAAAACAACATCATTGAAATTTGCATGGCATCACCACTGACCAAAAATTTCATGACAACCAGACAAAGTGTACAGCCACAGTATTTACGAATTATCAAAAAGTATTGACAGTTACAGAGCCGAAATTTTTTTCCAAACAAAATTTATTTCCATACGTGTATGATGTGCATCATTGATACATCACTGTCTACCACCAACACTTTCTAAGCAAAGCAGCATGAAAAATTGACGAAATCAGAGGGTAAGAGTGCTCCATTACCCACAAGTCTTGACTGCTTGTTATGAATTAAAATTTTTTCCTTCACTCAGGGTATTCAGTTACGATGCCAACAAGCACTGGAAACAGCGAAATCACCCCAATCCAACCTGCAGGTATTAATTTTGTTTGTTTTTTTTGCATGGTGAGGTAAGATCACAACACATTTTTATTCTTTTCAAAGAAAGACAAATAAAAATTAACCCACAGCATGCAACCTACGAAAATGGTATCATCTCCAAACAAAAAAAATTCCAACAAGTAAAATAATGTAATAGTCGCCACCTACATGTAGTATTAACTGGAGATATTAAGTGCCTTCAAACATAGCATTTTACACCTTCAAGACAAAGCTCCATCTGGTCAAGGCCAAAATGACGACAAAATCACAACACAAAAGATTTTGAAATGTTTTGCAATCACTGCTGTAGGCTTGAGGTTTAAATTATTTATCTAATCTATAAGTGGTGTTCGGCGAAAAGAATTCTAAATAATTAGGCCTACACAGGACCCATGTAGATGTGTATACATGGGTTGCTAAGATCCTCAAATATGTCACACCAGCATGTCAGAAAAGGATAAGTGACTGAAATATGTCATTGATGACCTGAACTTTGTCTTGTTTACTTAATGCTATAACAGCTGTTTTGTAACATCCAAACAAACAATTATTATCTCGAGGATGCAGGTCTTTTTTACCATTCTAGGAGCTGGTACAACAAGGCCAGTGAATAAGTCTACATGATAAGCTCTTGGAAAATATGGTGGAAGCCTAGGCCATAGAAATCAGTCACTTAAGTCGTTCACACCTCATTAATGATCGGAAACAACAAAGAATAAACAAACCTTTTGCCAGATTAACTCCTGTTCTCGCCATAACCAGTTTAAAATTCAGCTCTGCAAAACGAAGAAAACGGTAGTACTTAACAATTATTACATCAGCCCCCCCTCTTAGAAGATTAACTTGTATAATGTGAGCTCAAAATATACAGACAGCTTAAATTCCTCCGTGCAAAAATCGTAACACACAACTTCGTAACCCTACTTCAACTCTACTGTATTTCCCATTGTATTTTTTTAAAACTTTGAAAATCAAATGCCGGGCTTTGAACCAAGATCTAAAGGTTATCACAGACCTATCTCACCTTTGTTTTCAGCTTTTAAACGTTCTATTTCGTTGTGTAAATTTGTTAGCGTTTCGGCATGTTGGGTACGCAGGTAGTCTATTCGTTTCTCTATATTTTCTATCCTTTGAGCTCCATCCAGTTCGTGGCCTCGAGAAGGCGCAGAAACAATCCTTCCTGGGAGATTTGCTTTTCCTTTCGATTTATCCTCCCCGATTTCGTCCATTTCCTCCCTTATTGATTTTATAGGCTGTAAGCGGTCACGAATTATCGGACGTGGAGGCTTTCTCCTTCCCAAAGAGTTTCTAGACCAAGAGGGAAGGTTTTGAAGAGGAGGAAGGTTAGAAGATTGCGTAGGAACCTTTGACATAGCTTGTAGTGACTGCATTGCCTCGAAGCTTGTCCGTTATTTACAGCTGCGCCAAATTTTTAAGCCACCAACCAAGTTTCCGTGAACATTGGCTATAGCCGAAAATGTGACAATGTGAAAGCTATTGTATGACACAGATCGTTCAATTCGGCGATCATTTTTCCTTTGTATGCTACTATCGATCACTTAACATTATCGAGTTTACTTTCTCCAGTAAGCTGAAGCAGAAATAACGCCGATCGTGACAAGCCAGATGTCGTTGTGCGTCCGTGATGGCCGATCAGAAAACTCGAGCTGTTATCAAGAACCAAACACGCATGACTACTAAATCCGGTTGCCATGGTGAACCAAAGGCGGCCGCGGATACGTAAGAACCATGCAGAGAGATCAAGAGCCAAGAAATCGACTACTGTCTTATAGATTGAAAAAGGCCACAACCTTGCAGAGAAGATTGGGCTTATTGTAGTTTGCGAAACGCAATGGAGCGAAACGAAATGAAACGAAACGAAATGGAACGAAACGAAATGAAAATCTGTAGTTTGCGAAATGAAAATCTGTAGTTTGCGAAATGGAAATCTGTAGTTTGCGAAATGAAAATCTGTAGTTTGCGAAATGAGAATTTGTAGTTTGCGAAATGAAAATCTGTAGTTTGCGAAATGAGAATTTGTAGTTTGCGAAATGAAAATCTGTAGTTTGCGAAATGAAAATCTGTAGTTTGCGAAATGAGAATTTGTAGATTGCGAAATGAACATCTGTCGTTTGCGAAATGAAAATCTGTAGTTTGCGAAATGAAAATCCTCTGGAGAGTGCCGACTTCAAATTCAGCGTGAACAACGGAAGGAACAACGGAGCAGAAGGAACATCGCTTAGCACAGCGAAGGCAACGCCGACAACAAGAGACAGAGGAACTGAGAGGAATAGGAGATTGGAATCAGAGGCACTATGATCGTTTTACACTGTCGAAAACCCAGACTTCTTAGTTTGCCGGTTTCCCCGCCGATATATGGATCAAAGTCTGCAAAGTTCCAGCTCTGTATTACGGCCCGAAGAATAATAATTTTCGGGCGAACTGCACCGGGCCATATTTGTTCTTTGTTTTTTTTTCTTTTTCTAAATCCGGACGCAGAAATAATGCTAAATCTGCTTTTCAATACACTGTTAACAATAACACCACATAATACGCAAAAAAGAAGAAGAAGAAAAGAAAGAACAACGTATGAACCTTTAAGACGATATTCGCGGTGGGTCACCCATCCCGTTCGTAACCCCGACCGACAGGGCTTAACTTGAGCGTCTTAGCTTAAGTTAAATTTTTCTGGGCGAAACAGCTTTTTTGGGGGAATTTTCTGTTTAGAATATCCCAGTAGACGCAACGAGAATAGACTACGAGTAGTCCGCCATTTTTCCTACAACTACAGATTTTCATTTCGTAAACTACAGAATCTGTAGTTTGCGAAATGACAGTCTGTAGTTTACGAAATGACAATTTACTTTCTCGTTGCGTCTACTCGGATATTCTAAACAGAAAATTCCCCGCAAAAGGCAGTTTCGCCCAGAAAAATTTAACTTATGCTCAGGCGTCAAGTTAAGCCCTGTCGGTCGGGGTAACGAACGGGATGGGTGACCCACCGCGAATATCGTCCTAAAGGTCCATACGTTGTTCTTTCTTTTCTTCTTCTTCTTCTTTTTTGCGTTTTATGTGGTGTTATTGTTAACAATGTATTGAAAAGCAGATTTAGCATTATTCTGCGTCCGGATTTAGAACTGAGAAAAAAAGAAAGAACAAATATGGCCCGGTGCAGTTCGCCCGAAAATTGTTATTCTTCGGGCCGTAATACAGAGCTGGAACTTTGCAGACTTTGATCTATATATCGGCGGGGAAACCAGCAAACTAAGAAATCTGGGTTTTCGACAGTGTAAAACGATCATAATGCCTCTGATTCCAATCTCCTATTCCTCTGTCTCTTGTTGTCGGCGTTGCCTTCGCTGTGCCAAGCGATGTTCCTTCTGCATCCGCGGTTTCTTGTTGACGTCTTTCTCCTTCGTTCTGCGGAGGATTTTCATTTCGCAAACTACAGATTTTCATTTCGCAAACTACAAATTCTCATTTCGCAAACTACAGATTTCCATTTCGCAAACTACAGATTTCCATTTCGTTTCGTTCCATTTCGTTTCGCTCCATTTCGTTTCGCAAACTACAGTAAGCCAGAAGATTGCCATTCGCAACCCATTTCTATTATTACTACTCTTGTGTCAATTTTACAAATGTACTGCTTTCATGCTAAAGACATTATAACAGCTTTCTGTTTCTACCCTTTAGAAGGGCGGCTTGACCGTCCGAAATTTCCGGCAAACACTCAGTCACTTTTATCTTTGCATGCAGCCTGGAGAGTGGTAAAGACAGTTAATAAAAAGGACTCCTTATCCTAACCTAGCCTGGCCGCCTCTTCAGGCTTCTGTATTGCCTCTTTGAGCTCCCTATAAAAGAGTAAAGTGATCTGCAAAGCTATTTTCATCCACAGGGCTACCCAACATTACTAAAGAAAAAACGAATTTTCTAATGTCACTCCTCGAAACATCACTTTTTATTTTATCCCAAAACCTACTTCATGCATATTGAATCTGTTGTCGTTTTCAAATTGCAACGTCGATGCAGTTAGCCTGAAATTCATCCGATTGCTTCGAGTCGTTTTCTCCTCTCAACAACGGCATCAACGGCCGGTCGATTCAGACGTTACTGAGGGAGTAATAACGACTCGAAGTAATCGGATGAAATTCAGGCTACGATGCAGTCCGCATTTAATCAAATAAGCGTCGCATTAGCCACCAGGCCATTCATGCTAGACTAGCTCACAGCACGATAACCTGCGATCAGGCGAATTTTTTTTTTTGGGGGAAAAAAAACAATCGCCTGATTGCAGGTTAACAGCCCGAGGAAAAGGGTAGGAACTGCCTCCAGCTATAACTGCGAGGAATTTACAGGAATCTTAAATATACCGATTTCAGTTAATGTCTGAATCAATATGAAAGGGATAGAACAGATGCGAGACTAAATCAGCAAATATTAGCCCGACACGTTTTTATCAGGGTTTTAAACTACAAACCTCCACGCACAGCTTATTAATACTGAGTTGGGGTCTTATGAACGGCTTTAACTGGTCTTTACTATGTTCACTTTTGCAGTACAAGGCTGTGTTTAAATGTACAAGTAAATGTTTAGAACTTTCAAAAAGTTTTAAAATATGGCTATGCATATTGAAAACCGAAGAATATCACTGTGATGCCGATGCCCTTTTGTAAACGGTCGTTGCCATTTTTGACGGGACGTCCATTTTAAGAACACTTGTGGTACGAAAAGTTACCGTGATTCTCGAAAAAAATTACTCCAAAATCGTTTTACTTTCTGAGTTATCCATCGGGTTGTTTAATCCAGCCTTGCTCTAAAAAGAAGTTATACATCTTTCTAGTCTTGTTGACATCAATGCGGATGAGTGTGCGGGCTTGGGCGAGTCTCAGGAATCCCTGCTTCTCGTATTCCTTTATTAGGGTAGATTTGTAGCTCTGGTAATCTTGAGGCATCAACCGCAAATTGCTACATAACTGTACGAAGGGAGAAGAGAAGGGCAAATAAGACATTAATGAATGGGAGACAACGTACAGAGACTAAAAAGGTCGACTACGTGTGGCAGTCAAAAAGAAGTTCTTAATTTCCAATTCCCGCTTCGATTCTTCTTTCCTGGCACAGGATTGACTACCCTCTTGAACGAAAGCTAACCGCGCGGGTACCTCAAAAGAACCAAGCGGAAGGTGGCGGGTCCAAATCCCGGCCGGAACTACACTCAGCCGGGGTCTTTAAATAAGTGAGGAGAATGCGCTACCTTTGTTCTAAAAACGATTAGACATTCCAGTCTTCTCGAATAAGGACGAAAAACCCTTGTCCTGCTGTCACAAATCGTTCACTGCTCTGATTCTTGTGGGACGTAAAAGAACCCACAAAGCTGTTCTTAAAGAGTAGGGGACGTAAATACCGCCTAATAGGAGTGTGGTCAACATTAAACAAGAGTGTGTCTATGTGTGTACTGCTGTAGCAGGTCTACATAAGCTTTAAAGCTGTCTTATATGTATAACATGCTTTATAAAAAAAATTAAATGCTGATGACGATGATGATGATAACAATTATGACGATGACGATGATGATGATTGTGATGAACGCTTAAGACATAGATAAATCTGAGAAAGTACGTAGTCTTCTTCCTATTTTGGAATGTTTCGTGATGTAGCACGTTCCACCTTCCTGTTACCTTAATATCCTTCTCCTCACCCTCTCTTCTCTCCATTCACACATCCAATAGCTTTCACACCCCTCTCCATTCTTATGAGTAACGTACCTCTCTTTCCATTGGTCGAAGTTGTTCCACGCCTGGAGTGCCACTGATGTCCAACCGAGCCGCAGGCTTACGACCTTACAATAGCGGAAAAAAAAAAAAACACAACGCTTAGTTCTAAGCAGGGACCTGTTTCAGGCCATAACAAACTTTTGTCACAGGTAGGAGATGAATTTTCAGGAGGCTCCTTAATTAAAGAATCAAAAGCTCTCGGTGCTTCCGCAAACAACTGCGTTTTGCTAAAACAAACTGGGCCAAGACGTTCGAAACCTGGTTGGTAACGGGTAATCCTGGTTCACAACAAACAAAACATTTGAATTGTTATGGTAACGAAAAGCGAATTTGCGCTCATCGCCTGTCCAACAACTCAGCCGTAATAAGTAACGTCGACCTGTAAGAGGTTGGACACCTCATGACGCCTACAAGATATGGCATAAGCTTACAGTCTGGTGATTAGGGGAACAACGACTCATGTAGACTTCACAAGGGGTCCGACCAATCGTTGGTCGATGCTATTTTGTCGCACCCTTAACACACGGCCTCAAACTGCCGTGTGGCACTAATTTAGCATGGTATCCTGAGAGTCGGAAAAGCTCAAGCACTTTGCTATCAATGTAATGCTTCGATAAATTTTCATTGCCGACTGAAAAACGGCAATTAAAAAAGGCATAGGTTCCTGGCTCCGAGATCGGAAAAACGGATACTTTCGGATACTACATTCTTCTCTTGAAATAGCAACGTGAAGAACATAAACGCCGAAGGCCTGCGAATGGCATAATTAGCATATGAAAACTTACCCAAACTGGGAAGAGGTATGGGAGCTAAGCTCTGCCCTGAATCTCTGCACAAAGAATGTTCAAAAAGAATTAAGACAACAGTGAATAACAGTCAATTTCGTTCTCTAGAGGAGCGTTTATACTGTAAAGGTTTATAAAGGATTATCTTTCTTGTTTCTGCGCTGGAGCGAATAGCGCGCTCGAGTACTGCAGTTAAAGTAATAATGTTCAGTCAGGAATGAAACCAACGTTTACCTTAAGAAAAGTAGACTATTTGATGCAAATCCATTAAAACAGAAGGGAAAATTGCGTACTCTAACAACGCCTTTTATGATTTATTACGGAGACTTAACGATCTGATTGAGATAAAAGGGTATTCCTTTGCATTCACCTGCCAGCTTGATTACGTGACCCTTACATTCTGACTGGTAACCCAGAAAAAAAAATACTAGACAACATTTACAAACGTGTCGGAAACATCTCAATGCATCGCTAGCATACTTGTTTCGTCCGAGGATAGTTACCCGAAAGACTATGAGAGTTAATCCAGTGACTACATTAGACATTTTCACGTTACCATGTTCCCACTAATGACAAAGCTTCAAAATCCGGCGGTATAAACCGCACTCGACCTACAAACCTCTGATTCTCTCTAACGAAGAGGAAGCGCTTTTTAACGCCAGCTTCTTTATCCTAGTCTCCATCAAGGACCTTGTATGTTTTGTCACGCAACGCTCCTTTCCAAGGGAGCGTAACGTTTCGAGACTATGAGCGACTGGGTAAGAGACTCTTTGATCCCACCATGGCAAGTTGATAAAACTAAATCTTTGTATTTCACCCCCTAACTGAACCCTTAATTTATGTGTGACTTACATCAGAGCCTGTCTGTGTAGCCATGCTTGACAAGCTTTCTCGTCCTGTAAGAGACATATTCATAAAGTAAGACAGCTGATGTTAGATCATGTTAGATCAAATTCTCAAACTCCCATGGTTCCGGCGCCGTCGCTGGTATTACCTGAATGTGAACAAGAGCGTCATCCAACATTTTTCTCCGTGTTTTGTCGTCTTCACGATGTTTGTTCAATCGCTCATAAACCTCTGCTCCTAAAATGAGAATTAAGAAAACAATCAGTTATCAGTTCCTGTTGTAACAGTCAAGCGTTACCCTCACTACATTACATATCTTATTAATGTGCGGTATCATACTCAGGTTCTGATCAAACCATGATCCCAAGTTCCTAACTGAAGTTACGGGAGCTATAATGCTCTCACCGACACTAAGACCATCAATGTTCATTTTAGCCAGTTGCTTTCTGGTGCCTCACCCAGATTACAGACCGAATTGGACGACACGAAGTTCTGATACCAATTAATCATAACTATAACAAAACTTATAATATTTTATGCTTTTTTAAATAAAAAAAGAGTCATTCCGAGAGTTTTTTTGCTAGTAGAGAAATAAAAAAGCCATCTCTAATAACTTGGGCATGACGCGTACTGTCCTATTACACTGTCCTATTAGTGCTGAAATCAGGGCAGTTGATAGCCAATCAGATTTGAGAATTTTGTTATAGTTATGATTAAGATTGAGTATCTGTAAGGGAGGTATTTTTCTTAACAATCTGAAGATTTTTCAAAGGTCTCTTAGCTGTAATAAAGATTTACAAGCAATCTCTACACTTCATTGTTTAATTATTTCACTATTCAAGAGACAAACCTTTTCTCGTACAAATTCCTGCCGATCTGTATTCTTGTAAACTAGTGACTTGTCTCTTGAGGAATTTTTCCACTATAAACAATTTTAAAACCTTAAATGTTCAGTCATTTACTGTAAATTAAATCTTCCCCAGGGGGCTCACTTATTTGAAGCACGCTTGAGGGAAGGGGGGCCTTTTTGAGAGGGGGGTTAGGGGCTGGTCTTTTTTTACCTGTAAAGGTGGGGCGGGGACCGGTCATTTTGCTGGGGGTCATTTTCAAAATCTTGCTTGGTTTTGGGGGGTCGCTTTCAGATAAGGGAGCATTACATGCCTGGTGATTTAATGAATTTCATGAAAGTAGTACAAAGCAATCTGTTTTTAAGAGAGCAGTATAGGTAATATTGATTTGCGGGAAAGCTAAGACTACTACGAACAAAAAGCCTTCGACTTAGCTAGGAACTTCGGCATTATTTGTAGCGAGAATATTATCCTGCGTAGCTCGCACAGGTAAAAAACGACCAGCCCTTATTAAATTTAGCGAAACGGGTCACTATGCTGCTTTTTCAAACAACCAGGAGATAGCACCAATTCTCCATAAAAAAACTAGATGGCAGAGTGGAAAATCTAAACCATTTGAAGTTTGAGGTCATACAGCCGAAGATAAAAAAAAAAAAGGAATCCAGACTTTCAGCAGGTAAATAAACCATACCGGATCAGTGTACATGAAGTGTTGCAGTCCTGATTAATTAATACCGTCTATCATTTATTAATTTGGCTGTGAACAATTAGCAAGGAGGAGAAGAGTGCCTTATTAGAGAGGGCGGGGTGGGGGGGGCACTTAATAGAGGGTTTACAGTATACATGTACAAAATATACATAGCGGTTTACCCGTGTTTCCAAAAAGAAAACGAAAAGAAAACTTTAAAACACTGCACGTATTACTTACTCAGCAATCCTTGCACAAACATTTCATGTTGTTCAGGTGAGAGGAGACGACAAAAGGGCCTAAGGCTCTCACGCAGATCCCTGTGTTAAAACCAAAAACGGATCCTCAGGCATTAAACTTGAATAACAAGCCTGACAAAACAGCTGAGACGACACCACTGTTTTTGCCGCAAAACGACTTCTGAGAAATGAGCGCAGAAATTCCATACCGATGACATGTCACTACCAAGATCTGGGTAGTGCTTCTGATTGGTTGAAGCAAGTTTCCCTCGTGGCAGGACCAATCACTGAGAAGTACTAGCCAGAACATCATCATCATCAGTATGGAATGGAACACAAAGTGATTTAAAGCTCAAGCAGTTAAACCAGTTATAACAACTAAGCGTTATAAGAGCAAGTGTTGCGTGCATCAGGGAAATGCATGTTGCCAACAGGATATTTTTCCCACCACTGACTGGTACCACAAGATATAGCTAATCTCAAAGAGTCTCAGGTAGAATTACTGGTCATGTTGTTTCTTTGAGTGGAAAATGACAGTCTCATAACTATGGATAAATAACTGAAATTGCTGTCTTTCTTCTTTCCTTCTTGAAGAAGGGAGAAGATCTGTCACACCTCACATCCAAGGACAGGGTAAGGTCGCATTTCTCTAACGCGGGAAAACAAAACAAAGAGAAAAATCATACCTTTCTGCTTTTGATTGTCTCCTCTCTAACACTAAAATTCACAGGGAACAAGATGGGATTTAGACTCCGTGTTATTACAAACAACTGGACACTCCTAAAGAACACATTGTGTAATACAACTTGTACAAGCAAACAGAACATACTTTGCCATTTCTGTATGTTTATGAGTCCATATCTCCGTACAATTCTGCTGAGAGATTGAACAAAGCTCGGGTTATCCCATGCCTTTTTGAGAGAACACCATACACCAATTCTTAAATAACGTCATAAACTGAATGAAGATTCAACCAATGATTTGGTCTACATTGATCAGTCGATTCGTTTCGGACGTGAATCAGTAATGTTGGTCAAGTCAGCTGGGGAAGATGGATCAGTTAGGACACAGGCGGCCCAAGCTCGGTGCATAAATTATCGCGAGTATCGATACAAAGTCTTTAAATCGTTCGTAATATGCAAAACAGTATCGAAACTCACGGTAATTTATGTACCGAGCTTAGGCGGCCTCTGGTTGGGATTGTGACTCCATTTGAGTCCATTTTGAGCAAATGGGTCAGTCAAAAAATGTGCGCGTTTATGACGTACAAGGCAGTTTTATCGGAGAGGTATGCTGGGTGCACATTTCGGACAAGTTAGTCAGCTCTATATGCGCAGTTCAGGCATGTAGGTTTGTTGTGTCAGCTGTGGCAAATGGCTACGTTGGGGTGGCTTATTAAGTAGGACACAATGCATGGGGTAGTCTTTATATGGGTCAGTACGCTCAGATGGGACATATGGGGTCATTTCAGTCAACTGGATGAGTTGGAACAAATTGAAAGGAGATATAGGCCAATTGAGACACTAAAGTCAGTTATGTAAGTTCGATGGGTGGGTCAGTCAAGTGAGATGGAACATGCAGTTCAGTTCTGAAACATAAGCAGCTGGCTCATTTTTAATTAGTGATATTGGTTAGTAGGGTCATTGAGACCTTTTCATTTTGTGAAAAGTTGTATTTCCAGTGTAGTAGGCGCTGGTTCATTGTATGTTTTGCTGATAGTTTATGCTGACCCGACATCGGTCAGTTAGGTCACCAGGGACAGTTTAGTCATTTGAGTCTTTCGCTTTAGTATTTAGCCTACAGGGAAGACAACATTTAATTCCTAAAAACAACTAATGTTCTGGTAAATAACTCATAAACTCTGCCGCATAGAAAAACGTAAAAATTAAGACAAGATTAACACCTTACGACTGAACTAAGGTACAGAAAAACGTTCAGAGACAATTCGACAAAAGTTCCCTTAACTGCAGCATTCGTGAGCAAGGGGAATAATACGGCGTAGTTGCAGCATCCCTTCACTGAATATCTCCCAGGACTGAGGAGAAGAACATACTGTAGATACGATGTACGCGGTCTTCCTGTTTCTTCTTGCAATGAGGCAAGACTAACGTCCTATGAGTGAAGTAACGTACATGTACAGACGAACAAGACTTAGTTCATGTGAAGGAAGTGACATACAGAGAAACTTAAAAACATAGAAACACCGTACAAACCCAAAGAATGTATAAAACACAAATTTAACACCGTACAATAAATCTTGTAAAAAAAAAACGCAAGAATATTAGTAATGTGTCAAGTCGGGCTACAACCCTAATGTTTCTTGCGCTTTCTTGGGCAAACCATCGTGGATGAGAAATTTAGTGATAAGGTGCTAATATTACTTTTCCCGACAGTCAGCCAATTGAGAATCTCAATCAAAATAGCTTTAACAAATCAGCTTACCTCGCCAAAAGTTTAATTTGAGCCCTGAATGTTTGATTGCCGCGAATAAATACTAATAGTAAGTACCCAAGTTGGCTATTGGAGTGAAGGAATTAACAGGCTGTACATACCCTGGGTACCAGAGGTTTTTTCCTCGCATCCTTAGGAGCCAATTAGCCGTCTTGTCCAAAAACTGGATCAAACCGATCTAACCGTGCTTACGATTGGCTGGGTGCTATCAGAGCAATAGCACTCTATTCCAGAGGCTTTTCGTGCGTGTCACGATAAAGACTTGACCGAAACCAGAAACTGCGCTTGAAAAGTCCCCAGCACCCAGAGTAGGCTTGACACTTATTCACTACAAAAGAAGCCACTTACCGTTTTCTCAGAAATCTCTGTTGCAGCCGAGACAAGTATATTTCAATAGCAGCAATTTTAAGCTCTGCAAAGAAAGAGGCAAAGATCAGAATCAAGCAGAATATATAGATGAACTAAAATGAACAGGTCAACTTGAAACTTCAAAATATTTCTTGGTCATTTAAAATATCTGCGGTAAATAGGAAATGTTGAAATTCCGACCCCAGGCCAAAAATGGTGTTAAAATTTCCCATCTTAAAACAGAGTTGACGTTGAAATGCTCCTTAATGCATGGGAGATACATGGGAAAGAAAAATGGCCAGAAATTTTTACAAATAATGATTAGTTTACATAAGAAAAACATTAATCTACTTTAAAATATATTGAATAGCTCTTACAGGCTTTTTTCTTTGGCCATAATAAGGAAGGACACAATTTCCCATTAAATTCCTCTTTCCGCAGTCATTTCCCCGAGGCATTATAGTAAACACTGTTTATTTCAAGAAATTATGTTAAAATTCCTTTCCCTTTCCGTATGGTGGGCTGTCACTAAGATTTAAAGTTGCTGAGAAAATGCAATTAGTAGGTAGGAAGTTCTTTTAGCAATATATTCTCTTTGTTTCATCTGAAACTAGCCACGAGACATGCTTGTAGTCGCTGGAGGAAAATCCCCCATGACAGCCCTGTACATAGTGTCCATTCACCAACTCCAAAAACAAAAACTGTTGTCAAATCTACACCCCCTCTCCATGTAACTTTTCAAATTCCATGGATTTCCCTAGGGGGGAAGCATCTTGATTTCTCTACCATAATACCTTGAAGAAGATGAGAGTCCATGGGATCAAATTCAATCTCCTTTATGTCTACCTCTGCATAGTTATCATACTCCTGTAGGACGAGAATAAAAGCACAGTCATGCTGATGTCATTGGACAAAAGAAGGGACCTAATTATCTCAACAAAAATAAAGGTAAAACTAAAAACAAAGACAAATACTACATGTACTTTCTGGAATGTAACCAGCATTATATTGAAAAAGGGAAACTTTTCCCCTTTTTGTTTTTGTTTTTGTTTTTGTTTTTCAAGTTCTCTCTATCACTGCAGTTTCAAAAGTTACAAGACATCTGATCAGCGGTAAACAAAACTTTTGTACTATTTGTGGGCTTGACGCCACAACAACAAATACATCTATGGTGATACATGTTTTGACTCTGCCATATCCAATTTTTGGAGAAGACACAAGACTTTTTTGAGGATTAGAGGGCTCATAATTTGGAGTGTTTTCCATCATCATCAAGTTTCTTCTACAATATGAATATGAAGTCAAACGAGGAAACAAGACGGGGAACCAGCGAGAAAATTATCTCCAACTAGTAATTACCAGTACTAGCTATCTTCACTTTAGGACAAGTAATCTGAAATTTACCAAGTTTACAAACACAGCAAATGGCAAAAACAAAACAAGCAAGTAATAATAAGCAATACCACATCAAAGTCTCCTCTGCATGGCATGTATCCAGACATATCAAAGCTTCGGGTGGAATCCATTGGGGGACGAGGAGGATCTTCTGATGCTGCAAAATTTTACAAAACCACAGTGTAATACTAAATGTGATCGAAATAAGGCTAAATCTATTTTAGGCAAGGTTAATCGTGCACAAATGTGGCCAGTGACTTCACCCTCCAAGGCACATTTCCTGTAGGGGTGCCTTTTAGGTTGGCAGGGTTTGTTACCTAATTCCTTTGCTTTTCCTTCTTCCTTTTGTCCCCCAACCTCCCTGTTCCAAGGTTGGTCTGTTCTTAAAGGTAATTACCAAGTCAGTTAAGACTTTTCCTCGGCATCAGGTTACAGTTTGACAGTTCTTATTAGTGGCTGCTGCAGGGATTGTTCCCACTTACAGGGTTGCTATGGATACCTTCCTGCTATGCCTGAGTTGTCTTAAGCCCTACCCACTAATAGTTTAACTCAAGGCGCAAGTTCCCAAGATCATCAATATTGGTGAGGAGTTTAATATTATCAATATTATTATAATATTCTTGTACTGAGTGTTCCTAACAATGACTTCCCGAAAAAATAATCCATTGATTTTTCACCTCCTTAGCTGCTCTAAACTGCCTAGATGACCACTGAGCACAATATCAAACAAAATGTCACATAAACTTTGGCTAGATCAGTATAGTGACCTTTTGTTTGTTTTTAACATTTTTTGCCTCATTACAGTTATACATAACTACGCAGTAAGCTAGCCTGTATTTCAAGTTACTAATATAAAAAATAACTGTTACCATACTAATCAAAAGCGGGAAATTTAACACCTCTATAACTACTTCAGTTATGGGACTTACTCCCAAGGGGGATTCTAAAGTACCTCTTGTAATCTTTGCTAGAATTTTGCCGAAAGTATCTCATCCCAATTGCCTGCCTCTGCCTCCCCAAGAAAGGAAAACTATCATTTATTCAGTAAATCATAAGTATCTGCAGTTAAAATAGTTATAATTCTCTTCCTGTACCTTTAAATGGCATTGCAGCAGTAGATGGTGGTGGGTCACACACAGGGACTGGTCTTAGTTCTAAAATACAACAATAAAGAAGCTTAGTTGAATCAGCAAGGATATCCTTCTTGCTTGCTGGAGAGGAGGCAACATTCACAGCTTTTTGGGTTGTGTATTTTCATGCACTATATTAATATAATAATATCTTTCACGTACATGTATCCTCTTTCTCACATCTCAATTGAGACTCTCATCATCAACCTTTCTTTTCTTCCTCTTAATTTGCTTTTGCCTGATTCTTATTTTTTAATACAAAACACTCTCTACAGTAAGATGAAATCTCTAAACTTCACACATTGTTGTTTACTGCCACTAAGAGACTGATCATTACATCAGAAATTCATTAAAAAATATTAACTTCAAAAGAGGAAGCCCATTAGGCTTTCACACACTACTGTCTACAAGATTTTTTTCTATCAATATTTGTGGCAAATCAGTTTATGTTCAAACTTAACTTATGGCTTGTCACACTGAAAAAAAATTAACATTTCAACGAGTTTTAAAAAAATTGGTAATGGGCAATCTAGAAACATTGAATTAAAAAATACTGCAACAGAGAGAGGGGTGGCGGGGGAAACTGGACTATGTAAATATCTGTAATCACTGACAACGTTCCTCCTGCATTCAAATTTGGTATTAAAACATTTTTTCCAGGTGAAAACTTCCATGTAAGAGTCACCGTGGTAAATATTGTACCTGGTATCTGAAGAGCTTTGCAAGGATCATTAATATAACATTCTAGGTAGTGTTGTTCACACTCTGAAAGACAAAACAGAAAATCTTGACAATTTTTTTCTGTAAAAACCACATCACATACCTCTATTCAATACAGAAAAATTAAAGTCTGACCTTGTTCTGTTTTACTTTGAACTTGTTTTGAAACCTCTTTCCTAACATTGTTGATACAAAGTCAAAGAAATACAAGAAATGTTAATTCTGAATGTTTTCTTGTGCAATTTAAGGCTAATGTTTTTTAAACCTCTGGAGGATTGAAAAATTAAAAAGAGGAAGCAAAGACAAAATGAATTGTGGTAGTTGTTGTCAAATGTCATCGTTGGTAAATGGCCTACTTGGAACAATCCTTATTATGACAACAACTCCACAATTCACTTAAACAGCATATAATTTGTTTACCGCCAGATATCGGCGGTTCATTGATGGCCCCATGCCAATGGAGGCCTCTGTTTCACTTTTTGATTGTCCCACCCAAAAATAAACCTGCAACCCAGAGATGATATCATTAATTCATTTTCATCATCTCATGCACACAGCTGTCCTTTGCACATTTCTCTCTGACTTTGGACAGGAACCATTCTCCCTGGACCCTTGCTTGTCTCTACAAACAGAGTCTACTTTTCCACTCATCAATAGTGAAAGAAAAAAGACTGTTCTCTTAGTCATAATGATAAATGAGTACAGCATACACGTGTCTTACTAACAAACCATACAATCTTCACATGCTTGTATAAAGTCTCATTGCATGCATTATTCAATGTTGTTCTTTTTGACAAAACAATGTTGGTGATTTTTCTGGATTTTAGTTCTTAAGGACTGTCTAAAAACTTATAAGTTTGGGTGGGACTGTCACCAAGATTTCATGCTGCTGGGTAAATAAAAGAAGTATGCCGAGTTTAATCAAACAGCTACGGATATCTTTTGGTTGTATTTTTCTTTTATTGTGCTATGAAAGTAGCCAGGGGTCAATATCATAGTAGCCTAGGGAAATTCCCAACTATCAGCCCATAAAAACATACCTGTTTGTGAATAGTGCAGAGCACAGTTAAAATTGTTGATAGTTAGGAATCCAGTTGGAAATTTAAAAAATTTTACTTCATTTTCTTCACTTCCACTTTACTTTTTCAAGAAGGAATGTGTTTTGAGGGACATGTGGAAAAGACAATGTTTTTTTTTTTAAATACTTAACTAAACAACATGTGTATCTTCTCTAAGGGCTCGGTAAAATGTTCAGTAATTAAATTTTGACAAACATGCCAAACCAAAAAGTACTGTTCATATTCCCATTGGACTTAGTTTCATCTATTCAAAGTAGACAGACTATAAATTATAGTAGTTGCTAAAAAATATATCTACGTGACCCAACTGTGATTGTCTAACAGTGGATTCATTTGCAAATGGCTATGTGTAAATATAGCCTCACACTTCCCTCATGGCATTTTCTGCTTAGAAACAATGAAAAATTCCATTGGGCAAATGGAACAGGGCATACATGCAAATAAATCCACCTTATTAAGTATTATAGGTAAGTCTAAAATCTAACCAGTTTTGAAAGCCACAATAAGAGATCCCATCCAAAAGGTCAATTTCTTCTTGTGCATTCCAGCTCTTTTCCAAAACTGAAAAATTGTTACTCTAAACAGATAGCAAAACAAACAAGAACATAAGAGCTAACACGTATGAATTTTCAGATGGCCAGCTTGGTAAGTAATTTACATTGTCCAGAGTTTTATTGATGAAAACTGAGTTGCCAGCCAAATTTTTGCACTAACGCAGACTCAAACTGAGGAATGCACCACACATGTCCAATATACACAAACGGATACGATTCGTCAAACTGATGGTCCATTGGTACCAATGGTACGATTGGTACCAATGGAAAAGCACCCTATTCCAATGGTTCTATTGGTGAATATGCATCTCATTAAGGGGACTTAGATTATTTTCCCATGTAACCTGGCTGGGTACAGGGCAATTCCGATGGTCCATTGGTACCAATGGTGCGATTGGTACCAATGGAAAATGATGCCATTCCAATGGTTCTATTGGTGCAAAACAAGTTCACCAAGTGAAAACGCGCTAATAATTATTATGAACGTTCCTCGTTCTATAAGAAAACCACGCAAAACAAGTTCGCTTTTACATCAAGTAAAAGCGCGCTATAATTCTTATGAATATTCCTCGTTCTATATCCCAATCACGCAAAACAAGTTCGCTTTTACACCAAGTAAAAGCGCGCTATGATTCTTATGAATATTCCTCGTTCTATAAGCCAACCATGCAAAACAAGTTCGCTTTTACACCAAGTAAAAACGTGCTAATAATAATGAATATTCCTCGTTCTATAAGACAACCGCGCAGAACGAGTTCGCTTTTACACCAAGTAAAAACGCGCTAATAATTATTATGAATATTCCTCGTTCTATCAGCCAACCACGCAAAACAAGTTCGCTTTTACACCAAGTAAAAACGCGCTAATAATTATTATGAATATTCCTCGTTCTATCAGCCAACCATGCAAAACAAGTTCGCTTTTACACCAAGTAAAAACGCGCTAATAATTATTATGAATATTCCTCGTTCTATCAGCCAACCACGCAAAACAAGTTCGCTTTTACACCAAGTAAAAACGCGCTAATAATTATTATGAATATTCCTCGTTCTATCAGCCAACCACGCAAAACAAGTTCGCTTTTACACCAAGTAAAAACGCGCTAATAATTATTATGAATATTCCTCGTTCTATAAGCCAACCACGCAAAACAAGTTCGCTTTTACACCAAGTAAAAACGCGCTATAATTCTTATGAATATTCCTCGTTCTATAAGCCAACCATGCAAAACAAGTTCGCTTTTACACCAAGTAAAAACGCACTAATAATTATTATGAATATTCCTCGTTCTATAAGCCAACCACACAAAACGAGTTGCCTTTTACACTAAGTAAAAACGCGCTAATAATTATTAGGAATATTCCTCGTTCTATAAGCCAACCACGCACAACAAGTTCGCTGTTACACCAATTAAAAACGCGCCATAATTCTTATGAATATTCCTCGTTCTATTGGCTAACCACGCAAAACAAGTTCGCTTTCACACAAAGTAGAAACGCGCTAATAGTTACAAAGCGAGGGCGACCTATATATCTAACGCTAATAATATCTCAAGGTGCTGCGAGTATAACAAACATCGTACGAACATTAAAATTGAAAGGTAACGTGTCACTGTCGTGTTCGTTCTGTTTATTGTGATTCATGAGCAAACAACGACATGACATATGAATGTCTTCTTTCCTGTACGCAAGCACTATTTTTTGGGAATTCTTACTCGTTAAAAGAACCCGAAACAACGCGGAAAGGCGCGAAACTAGCAAAGTGGTATTGAGGCAACAGGTTTTAACAACTGTACTCAACTCACTGTGAAATTAACTTCTGAAATTTCTTAGCGCAATTTCATTATCTACATGGAAGCGTTTAAACCAAAACAAGTTTTCAATGAAGAGTTTCCGAAAAGGGTGGTTATATCATGCTGTTGGTTATGACTTTGTATTGTATTTGGTGGCTCCTAAGAGAGCCGTTCTATATTCAAGTGACTGAGTCACTTTTGACTGTTGACGTGGGGTTTGTCATGGTAACCCATTGAGGTACACCAGTTTGCTATAATCAACGTCGTAGTAAAACCATTGATGTATTTAATGTCAACGTTGTCGTTGACAAATTGTATTTGTAGTGCTCTTTTCTCGGCTGTAGCTTGCGATGAGGCCCAGGACTGAGCTAGAAGAATCCATCTACCGATGGTTTCAGGATTCCACCCGTTGCCGTGGAAAAACAGCAGAAGTTTGAATGTCTCCTTATCACTCATAAACATGTGAATCGACGGAGATTTTTATTTTATAATGGTGCATATTCACCAATAGAACCACTGGAATGACATCATTTTCTATTGGTACCAATCGTTCCATTCCTACCAATGGACAATTGGAATTGCCCTTTACCCAGCCAGACCACATGAGAAAATAATCTAACTCTCTTAATGAGATGCATATTCACCAATAGAATCATTGGAATAAGGTGCTTTTCTATTGGTACCAATCGAACCATTGGTACCAATGGACCATTGTAATTGCCCTGTACCCAACTAGAAACAATGAGAAAATAATCTAAGTCCCCTTAATGAGATGCATATTCACCAATAGAACCATTGGAATAGGGTGCTTTTCCATTGGTACCAATCGTACCATTGGTACCAATGGACCATTGGAATTGCCCTGTACCCAGCCAGACCTCATGAGGAAATAATCTAAGTCCCCTTAATGAGATGCATATTCACCAATAGAACCATTGGAATAGGGTGCTTTTCCATTGGTACCAATCGTACCATTGGTACCAATGGACCATTGGAATTGCCCTGTACCCAGCCAGACCACATGAGAAAATAATCTAAGTCCCCTTAATGAGATGCATATTCACCAATAGAACCATTGGAATAGGGTGCTTTTCCATTGGTACCAATGGACCATTGGAATTGCCCTGTACCCAGCCAGACAACATGAGAAAATAATCTAAGTCCCCTTAATGAGATGCATATTCACCAATAGAACTATTGGAATAGGGTGCTTTTCTATTGGTACCAATCGTACCATTGGTACCAATGGACCATTGGAATTGCCCTGTACCCAGCTAGACCACATGAGAAAATAATCTAAGTCCCCTTAATGAGATGCATATTCACCAATAGAACCATTGGAATAGGGTGCTTTTCTATTGGTACCAATCGTACCATTGGCACCAATGGACCATTGGAATTGCCCTGTACCCAGCCAGACCACATGAGAAAATAATCTAAGTCCCCTTAATGAGAAGCATATTCACCAATAGAACTATTGGAATATGGTGCTTTTCTATTTGTACCAATCGTACCATTGGTACCAATGGACCATTAAAATTGCCCTGTACCCAGCTAGACCACATGAGAAAATAATCTAAGTCTCCTTTATGAGATGCATATTCACCAACAGATCCATTGGAATAGGGTGCTTTTCCATTGGTACCAATCGTACCATTGGTACCAATGGACCATTGGAATTGCCCTGTATCCAGCTAGACCACATGAGAAAATAATCTAACTCTCTTAATGAGATGCATATTCACCAATAGAACCATTGGAATAGGGTGCTTTTCTATTGGTACCAATCGTACCATTGGTACCAATGGACCATTGGAATTGCCCTGTACTCAACTAGACCACGTGAGAAAATAATCTAAGTCTCCTTAATGAGATGCATATTCACCAACAGAACCATTGGAATAGGGTGCTTTTCCATTGGTACCAATCGTACCATTGGTACCAATGGACCATTGGAATTGCCCTGTACTCAACTAGACCACGTGAGAAAATAATCTAAGTCTCCTTAATGAGATGCATATTCACCAACAGAACTATTGGAATAGGGTGCTTTTCCATTGGTACCAATCGTACCACTGGTACCAATGGACCATTGGAATTGCCCTGTACCCAGCTAGACCACATGAGAAAATAATCTAAGTCTCCTTAATAAGATGCATATTCACCAATAGAACTATTGGAATAGGATGCTTTTCTATTGGTACCAATCGTACCATTGGTACCAATGGAGACCCTTCTTATCACCACTAACACCAATGGAGTCTATTTGTGAGTATTGGACAACCCTCGAATGCACACTCAAATATGGAACTCTGCAGAACCTCACATTCAAACTTGAACTATGAACAATCTCAAAGTGAAACTCCTTGGTTCATATGCTCGTCATAATAACTGTAGCCCAAATATAAGAACCTGCTAGAAATTGCTTGGCTAAACAGGTTGTTATTAAAAGGGAAAATTCCTAAAAGTAGGTTCTTAAACCACTATGTTCTTACATGTGGGTTTTACAAATGCACTATCATCCTGTGGTGAAAGTGATAGTTACAGCAATGAGTTGCAGAGGTTATATTAGGGACCTTACAATCTGACAACGGCGACGTCCTTGAAAACGTCGCTAACAAATAGACTTTGCATCCTTTTAAACTTTTTCGAGATTATCCCGATTCACCCTCTTACTTAAAAGAAGGGAATTTTGGTTGGAGCTGAAGAGAGGGAACAGCTCCCAAATTCAGAGAGAGATGGTAGAATTTATTGCCCTGCCATTCCCATTCTCAAGTAAAATTAAAATTTGGTCATTTCACGTCGTAGTTATGCAGGGACAGCAAAGAAATGTACAACAAGCGTGATGCACGTGCAGAGTTGTTGTTTTGCTCATTACACCTATTGCTTTTTTGATGTTTTTCCCTGCTGTCGCCGTCGTAGTTTCGTAAGGTCCCTCTTAACTCAAGCAGCAGCATTTACTCAGTAGTGAAAGTGGAAGTGGTTTAAGCAACCAGCAGTTTAAACACTAATCAGGGTGACTACAATCTGTTTATGGCTTCTACAATGAACATCTAATGATGAAAGCAGACTTAAGGATCTAACAAACTTACAATTATTTCATAGCTATGGTCACTCCGATGCTCCTTGTTCTCAGCTCCCCTTGAGAAACACTTTAAAAAATAATGATTATTATCATTATACACATGTACTGTTGGCTCAATGAAAGGCAGATTGAAATCCTGTTCCTGAAGAAATGCTATTGAAAAAATTATTTTTCATAATAGTATTTCTTCATCAACAGGATTTCAGGAATCCGTAATTGAAGCTACATAAAGCCCATTTACACATTAATGTAAATTATTCAGACTAACTTATCATATACCTGCAAAACAAAAGCATTCCTATAGAAAACAAACAGCTAATGCATCAGTCAATTCCATTCACTCATCCTCCTCAATCCCCACGCTAACGCCAAGCAACAATAGGCTGATTTAGCAACAGAACAGGAACTTCAGTTGAAGACGGCGGGCAAAAATCAGACAACTAGCTTGACCAATGGCAGCGCAGCAAGTTGGGCACTGGAAGTCACATTCAGTCCTTTGTGGGTGCTTTCCTGTCATCAACTGACTTTCCCATTCTGTTGCTAAATCAGCCTAATATATAAAACCACATGCCTTTGAAAAAACCCTATACAGTTTTTTCAAAATCTTGAAGGACAAGCCAATCTGCCTTCAGTAACATCTTCCATGTTTATAAACACCATATGTTTGGATTTGATAAATGACTCAATAATCACAGGTGTGTAAATACCCACGGGTGGCCCTAGGGTTGGCTAGTGGGTCATACTTAATTTGCTAACGCCCACCCCTGGGCCCTGTATCGACAAGGGATGGAAGCATGCTAGAACTGACGGAAACATAACAAAGCCTTTATTGTTCTATGGCATATTACCGGTACATTAAGCATTTAGGCTTAACTACAGAATACAGGGCAAATTTTCTAGGTATATTCGTTGGGGTGGCTCGGTGGCTCGGTAGTCCCGACTAACGAGCCACCGAGCCGTCGAGCCACTAAACTATATAACCTCGACTGAAGAGCCACCGAGCCGCCGAGCCACTAAAATATATACCTATAATCTGCTATAATACATACTAAAGTATATGCCTTCTATGTCTGTCTTATACTTATATGTCTTATATCTTTCTCGTTCTTTAAACACTTGTCGTGACTAGCGAGCCACCGAGCCACTTCTGTTTAAGACCTTAAAATATGGCCCTGTATTCTGTAGTAGTTGCTCCAGCGTTTAATTTTTAATTTTTTATTTTTAATTTTTTTTTTTTGGGGGGGGGGGATTTGTTTTTCTTTTTTTTTTAATCATTCGAAGAAAGCAAAACAAAACGGAAAACATTTGGAAATAAAATCAGAAACAAAGAAAATGAAAAGTTAAAATTGAGATTGACAGATTAAGACTAATTTTTGCTACACGTTACATTTCGTTGCAGTCTCAATCATCGTCCATTATTTTGTATCCCAGACGCTGAAACATAGTTACCTTTTGTTTAGTTACTATTCACTACCCAAGAGACTACAGGAGCTACGTTCTAGTTCATGATAGCACTCAGAAAAACGTAAGCTTACCTCCAAACAGAGATCAACTTTGGGAAAGCAGCTACAGCACCGAACAAAGGGCTCTCTCACCACTCCACGACACACCAAACACTCAAGATCCTCCTCACAGACAGAATGGCTCTCTGTTAAGTTAAATTGCCTCGATATTGTTAACAATTCCGAGTATTTGCGAAAAGAATCACAGTATTAAATTTTAAGAACAAACCTTCCACCAGAACCGCCATTTTGATTTTTACAGTAGGATGGAGACTGGAACGAGCATCCAGGCTCCTGGCCGAGAAAAGGTGGTGGGACTTTCATGAGTTACACACTACAGACTTGCCAACCTCCAAAAGGATAAAAATGTGAGATTCTGAACCTACTGCGGGGAAAAGTGGTGAGAAATGGGTAAAAAGCTGTGAGATGTCACAAATTTCCAAGCGGAAGGACTTGCAGTGGGGATTATAGGTATTCAGTGGCGGATCCAGGAAAGGGGCCCAGGGAGCCCTCCCCTCCCTTATTTTTAGACCAAACTGAGGCATCGGACACAGTATAAGGTTGGGGGTTAGCAACTTTGTGCATAAATGCTAAAGTCTATGTGATCATTTTGCATGGGATATGGGTTATGCTAGCCTGCGAAAACATTCGTTTCTCCTCGCTCTTCGCCGCTGAGGACGTTTCGTGCGAAACGTCCCCAAAGGCGAAGAGCGAGGAGAAACGGATGTTTTCGCAGGCTAGGGCTATGCAACAGATGACATAAGCGAGTGAGCTGATGAAACGTATGAACAGACCGTTTGGATCCTGGAAAAAAACTGATCGTTTTACACGCAGTTACGCAATACCATCTATTGCATGACCAGTACTCTGTGAAAAACCCTACAGACATAGCCATAAAATTAAAAGATAAAAACGATCCAGATTTTTGAAAAGTTGTTTTTAAACCCACACTCTTAATCTCAGGAAATCAAGAAACGGTTTGTATTCAACGTATCATTCTTGTTTTCCGCGATACGGCAAAAACATAGCTCCTACATTCGATAATTATATAAACAACACTCACCCAACCAACAATCTACTGATTTGCTGTAACGTAGGGCTAGCGTATCTCTTATATTATATATTATTTTTGTGTTTATCCCCCCCCCCCCACCGACAAAACACCACAGTTTCTTTTTGAACAATGCTGTTTATAATATTTGATTCCGTCAAGTAGGATATATTTAGCCACCTAATAAATAAACGTATAGTCATCCTCCTTAGCGTTAATCAGTATTACTCAGTTCTCTCTCAAGAGTAAATTTACTGTTTAGCATGAACTGAGTAATAAGCGAAGGCAAACACGCTAGAGGCTGTCCAATTTGCCGCCTATTTTTCGCGTGGAGCGAAAATTAAAACAAAATTTTTCCCTTCGAATCAACATGGCATGTATTCTGAAGTAAGACGAATTAAGCTTTGTTTGCATTACATTATCGTCAAATAAGGCGTTAATTATCATGAATAAGTAGCTGCGTTGCGTCTGAATGCGTCGAACTGTGAAGTCGAAACGTGAAGTGTATGGATCCGCCTCTTCAGTGATGAGAAGGTGGCCACTGATGAAGAACGTTTGGAAATAGGGTACAAATATTTTAGGTCTAACATCCTCCCTCACCCCACCCTACAGGTCCGACTGCTTAAAAAATACGAAAATAAAACTAGGCGGTTCTATAATAGTTCAGCTCACCGCATTTTGCGTCAACTCAATAGACAAACTGAGAGTTCAGTGGTCAGCAGCCTCTTCCCATTTAAAAAATTATTGTCACGCTGGTTACCCAAGGTTTGCCGTCTTTCTTTCCTCTCCCGCCCTGTTGCGTAAGCTCACTATTGATATGAAAATGACTTTTCATTCTCCCGCAAATTAAACTTATTTCCATAAGAAGGGTTTTTCACTTAGCCTCGTTTGTATGCATGAGAGTTTTTGGAACTTAGAAATGGCCCATTAGCCTATAATATTATTCGGTTCTTTAAAACTTTGAAAACAGGTAAATAACAGTTGCTACTCTCATAAAGGAGGGTGTTAAAAAAGAAGAACAGGGGCCCGGCTCCTCGAAAGATGGTTCAGTTTAGCCCAGGATTAAGCCAAGTTTCAAGCAAGGTTTTCTTGTCTAACAACATGTAACTCGAGCTTACAAAATTGATTGTACCTTTACTTCGAAAAATGAAATGATAAGACAAAACGTTACTCTAAGCAATACATAGTTGAGTCCAGAAAAAAAATGGAGAAGGAAGAAATGGAAAAGAAGGAAGAGTTTGACGGGAAACAAATTAACCCGTTTAAAATGTTTGGGACGTTGCAAATACCAGGTCAAGGAAAAATAGGACGCGCGTAATCTCAGAGAGTGGGCAGCACTTTTCACGATCTCTGCACATTACCATTTAGGACCGTCGGAACGTGAAGTGTATGGATCAACGAGTTTGTGTAAAATTTCACCCCGATTTCGCTTTCAGAGAGACCTCGTTTAGACTTAATTTAGTAGGAATAAAATACAGCAGATTGCATTTTTTCCGCTTCTGTAGCAATTCCCTTTTGAAATGGTTTACCGCCTTAAACACTCTTCAGGACATCTATTCCTTTTGAGATTAAGACCGGGTAGCACTCGACATCTTCTGTCACTCAAATCTCGCATGAGTGACTTCGTTATGCTTCTATAAAACTTTGTCATACACGGTAAGAACAAGGCAGCTATTCACTGAAGCCCAAATTACTAGTAATCTAGGATATAAAATAAATAGCTTAATTTCTTTTTACTTCTATAGTTAATTTGCATGACTGAATGCGTGAGAGGTACATGAACGCGGAAAAATCAGCTTCCACGCCCTATTAAAAGAGCTTAAGGCCACTATAACCTTTTTAGAAATGACGGATTAACAACAAGAAAATTTATTATATTGTTCAAGTGGCCTATAATTGCATATATGAATCACTGATCATTGACCAATATGATAATGTACCAACTGCTACTCAGTATTTAACTACTGTTTTATCAGTTCGGGTTCTCGAGTTGTGTTTCTACAGTGTCAATGGCAATATTTTGTTAAACAAACGTTGGCATATTATTGTCGAAGTTGTTCTGCTAACATTGGTTGTTTTCTTTTTGATTACCGACGTGCGTATGTGACTCCGACATGCAGTATGCCAACACGGGTCAGGGTTAAACACGAGCCGAAATAAAATCAGATAATTAACGCACAAAAAACCTTTGACGTTATCAAAGATTCATTGTTAAGATTCGTGAATCAGAACAGCGCCCTAAGGAGATCTTGGCGGATGGAGAAACCGAGAAAATCGGTTGAAGTATACCTTTTTGCCTAACGTCGAAGAGAACGAAATTTTTCATTTGTCAAACTAAGTGCATGCGTATATTTTAATACACATGGATCGGAGTTACTGCAAGATGACGAGGTGCAAAGGAAATAGCAACGGGAACATCAAAAAAGCAATTCATGTAGTTTTTAAAAAAGCATAATGAATACATTTAGCACGGTTGCTAGTTCCGTTCGCTCTGATTTTTTTGGAATTTAAAGTTTGCCTCTTTCTCTACCATTTCTTACTGATAAGTATTTTGGTTCTTCCTGATTTTAAAACAATGATTGATTATTTCCTCTTTGGAGTTTTCTATTTGTGCTAAAGTCCCTTTAACACCGTCAGAGGAAATGGTTACCTACTACGCAAGTAAAGCAAACCGAGCGAGAAGATCAATCCAAGTTCTGCCCTCTATTTAAAATTAGAAACAAGGCGCACTTGTTAAAAGTATGAAAACGTCTTCCAGCGAAATCAAGTAACACAAAAATGCAGTCTTTGGGGTAGAAAAGGTCCAGATTCAAATCTCTTGAACTGGAATCTCAATTGATCAAGGGAACTGCATGGGATTTGCGTATACTGGAAACAAAAACACACACACACGCACACACACTCACACATAAGAAAAAGAAAACAGAGAAAGAAAAAAGTAAAAAATCCCGCAGTCGTTGTGTCGTGAATTTGCGGCCTACATTAGCATAAAAAGAAAACCTTGATAAGGTTTTACTTGTGTTGTGTGCTAACTGGGGTTACCATTGTATGTAGCCAATTTTTGTTTTAAAAAGGTTGTTGCACAGTAGTTTTCTTACGACTCTTCCTTAAAAAAAATGGGACGGAACTTTATAAGGGTGATTTTAGACGAATGCAAGGACTATGAGTAACTACAATTGTTGCTTTTTTCAGTGCCTTTTATTCTCTTGTGACGTAAGTAATCACGCGTTCACAATGGTTTAAGGAGAGCTCAGAAACAGGAAAAAGTTGACGCTATTGTTTTGTTTTTTTTTTATGGCCTGTGATATTGCATTTATGCATTATTTAGGATTTAATTTGCTTGTATAATTGTGTTTTAAATGTGTAATTGCAGTTCACATTATAAGTTCGACTTCTCAAGTAGATGTTGGATAAAACAAGCAGAGACTGAGGGGGGCTACGGACTGAAGGAAAAATGACATTTGCAAGTTTACTTATTTATCTAGCATTGCTGTGCTCATCCTTATACGCCAAACGTAAGTTAAATGCAAATCAACTATTTTGTCAGAGTTATCAGATACAGCCTAAATAAGCGATATAGTCGAGATGGCAACCCAGCTACTCAAAAGCCCTTAAAGGCCGGACGGCGCAAACCAAGAATACTTTAACCTACCGATGGACCCACAAAAAGGCTCAGCGGCACTCTAAGGGCTTTCGTCACTTGTTGCTAGATAGACAAAAAGGTTGATTGGACTGAAGCTGTACATGTAACTGATTCTCCAGCAAATCGCAGGCATGGTAATCGACGTTTTGTGAGTTAAATCCACTTCGTGACTTTCAACCCTTTGAACAATGGCGCGATTAGTTTATGAAACAACTTTCACTTGTGACTATAATTTTTTTATTAATACAGAGCTGAGGAAGCAACGAATACTAACAATTGTGTTAAATTTGGAGAGATAACTTTCAGATGCCGCAACTTTAAGGCTAGAATCGAATTGCCTAGACTTGTTTTTGAGAGTGTTTCTGCAACGCATCGTTGCAAAAATGAGTGTTAAAAACAAATGTCTGAATTAGCGGCTTGTGGAAAACTGAATGCAAGTCATCTGTTTTAATGTTGGGCGATCATTGAAGAAAATTTAAAAAATCAGCGTATATTCTTGAAATAGCTGTAAAAGGGGTTGGATTTGTACAGTTAATTGAAGATGGTTCAAAAAAATTAAGTACGTTATAGTGGCAGCCGTAAAAGCTTTCGTCCGAAGGTAGATGGTATTCATTGCATTTAAACTCAGTAGGGCAAGGCATTTACGTTCACCAAAGTCGTGGTAAGCTCTATTGTATACACTTTTTGACGTAGAGACGGGCAAATTAAAGGAAGTATGCTTCTATCTAAAGTTTCTCATGAAATTTTAAACTTTTGACAGACGTGCAATACGCTTTTTCCCTTTATCACACGAACAATATAGTATAAAAGCCATCATTATCTAAAACGGAATTTTGTTTATTTTTGTGTATCCTATTCGCCAAGTTGTTCTTGTGCTTACAATAGCAAAAATTTTAATGACCTTTTTTAAAATTAAAATTAGCCACAATCGGGAAAAAGTTGCGTCCCGCTCCACCGAAGCGGGAGCATTTTTGTAGTTTCAACTGACGAGAATAGTTCTTGCGTTCAATGGCGCTGTCACGATCAAGTCCAGCGCTGCACAACAGTGTTGACATCTGATCAACAGTAGTAATCATACTACTAGCAGTTTCCAAAGCTTGTATTTCCAATAAAAGGCCTCATCGTTTTCGCCTGAGCGGCGGATCCAGCGCAGGCTTTGGAACAATCTTATGAGTGGGAGTGCCGTGGCTCAAAGGTTTGGCCTTTGACGCTTTTACAAGACCCCTACAGTTAATAACCACATGTTACCTCATTACTAAATTATTGAGTTCGACTTTGCTGTTAGTAGTCATTTATCATTATTTTAAAGAAGTCTGAATCACGAAGGCCGACGAGTTTAGGCCAGCACTTAGCCCGTTTCAGGCTCCAAGATAGAAGTGCAGTCGTGCGTGTTATTTTCGCTTGGCTTGTGTTAATTTTGGTACTTCCATACTATCTGAGAGCCTCGCGTAAGCTGGCTAGGGATGGGCTTCCAATTTTCAAAATTAGCCACAATCGGAAAAAAGTTGCGTCCCGCTCCACCGAAGCGGGAGTGTTTTTGTAGTTTCAATTGACGAGAATAGTTCTTGCGTTCAATGGCGCTGTCACGATCAAGTCCAGCGTTGCACAACAGAAAGATATAAATTTTCGTTTCAACAGTGTTGACTTCTGATCAGTAATAGTAATCATACTAGTAGTAGTTTCCAAAGCTTGTATTTCCAATAAAAGGCCTCATCGTTTTCGCCTGAGCGGCGAATCCAGCGTAGGCTTTGGAACAATCTTACAAGTGGGAGTGCGGTGGCTCAAAGCCTTGGCCTTTGACGCTTTTACCAGACCCCAAAGTTAATAACCACGTGTTACCTTCTTACTAAATTATTGAGTTGGATTTGGCTGTTAGTAATCATTTATCATTATTTGAAGGAGTCTGAATCACGAAGGCCGACGACTTTAGGCCAGCACTTAGCCTGTTTCAGGCTCCAAGATAGAAGTGCAGTCGTGCGAGTTATTTTCGCTTCTTCCCTACTATGAGAGCCGCGCGTAAGCTAGCTAGAGCTGGGCCTCCAATTTTCTGCTACAAAATAGGACATCACTGAGTTAAAAGATAAAACAATGTTCTAGATCCCTTGGGGGGTTATCGAGTTGTACCTTCAACCGCAAGGTGAATCACTTGGAACATGTTTGCTTATCATTAACAAAAATAATTACGCTGACCAAGAGGAAACAGTGCACGTGGGAGAGGAAGGTGTGCCGTACAGTTTTTTTCCCCGTGCATGCAACACAGGCTATCAGAGGCTGTGAACAATTACCACGGCAGAAAAAAGTTCACGGCTTACATTTTTGATTACATAATTTGTTATAACAAATGGCAGCCTACCTGTTGCTGTTTAGTTTGGTAAGATATGTACAGCGCCCGAAATGTTCCCCAACCCTGAAATGATCCCCAAATCGACCCCGAAATGATACCGACCCCAAAATGATCCCCATTTCTCTTCACGTCGACCCCGAAATGATCCCCATTTAATTTTAGGAATGGAATGATATCCTAGAACTATGGATCGTGCAAAATGCACAACATTATAACTTAAGCTTCACTAATAATCTTCACTTGCCCACGATGACATTAATTTGGGATTACACTTTGAACTGGATTAAACGAAAATATTATTATCAAAAAAGTACACAAAGTCTAGTATATTTTTAGGAACACCATGAACTGCAACTGCTAATATCAAGAAACACAACATTTTTTAAAATTATTACTTGGGTGATTATAACCCGGGTTATAGAGAAAACTGCATAGATGTTAAATTGTAAAAATGATGTTAAAACTGCATGCCTTGGATATTGAATTTTAAAAATGGTGTTTAACGCTGTTTAAAATCTTAAAATGATGTTGAAGATGCAAAAGTATACATACAGGCGATTAGATGACAAAAGCGCTAAAAAATCACATAAACTCAGTGTAGCGAACTGTTTAATTAAGGTAAAAAAAAAAAACAATGCAAATACAGTGTACGATCAATCTTGCTCAACGTTGGATCAAAAAAGATCGTGATCAGTCAAAATAGATCAAATTGAAAACGTTACAGTCAAGTGACACTTTAGCAGGTTTCAGTCTGAGTCTTGGGTTTGTTTGTAAGTGGGTCAGTGCGAAGAATGTCGGAAGCTCGTTGTATTTGGATCTAAAGAAAGGTTTTGTCGTAGCGGCGATTACACTTTTCATTCTACAGGTGAGACCCACCACATCAAATCTCATATCACTTGTGAAACTTTTAATGTTATCTACTTGATTCAATGTCGCCTGTGTAATCTACAATATATTGGAGAAAATAAACGTCGCCGCAAAGACCGTCGTAATGAACACAGACGACCTATACTCAACCCTACTGGTAATTACATCCATACTGCAGTTTCAGAACACTTTCTAATCAGTAATCATTCCGACAATCATATGCTTTTGATTCCTATTGAAAAACTTAAAAATGGGCGCGATTCTTTTAGGAAAGCACGTGAAGCCCACCTTATCCATAAAGCTAAGACAATTGAACCTCTGGGCATCAATAAACGTGATGAACTGCAACTATATATGGTATATCTTTTATTTTTTTGTTATCTTGTCTTTTAAAGTAGCCACCATACCACGTCACATTGTGTAATTTCGGTCATAATTTTACTTCATATATATTTCTGTGAATTCGTGATATCTCAATAAACCTGATGAAGACTGGTATTGGCCAGTCGAAATATCGCAACTAAACTCTATTTCACTTTGTTTGATCAGACGCTGCTAAAGTCTTCTTGAGTCAGACTCGTACCCAGACGCTATTTAAGTGTTTTTTGGGATGAGAGAAGATTGGGGATTAGGTTGAGGCGCGCGGGGTGTCATGGCAAGGGAAGAAGGAAAAATACTGTTCTTCACCAGGAAATTGAGTAATTTTAACTTTCAGTGGACAAAAACTTTGTATCAGAATAATTTTAAAAATATGGCATCCTTTGTTACATTTTTCAAGGGCTAAAGAAGTAATAAATCATCTGTAGTAACACCAAAGAAAATTTCTCATGGAAGTTCGAGAAAATGAATTTCAAATTTCACAAGAATTGTGATTACAGAGGTAAAATTCTGAAAATTTCATGAGTAGGAAGTATTTTGTGAAATTTGACATTCATTTTCTCGGGCTCCCATAAAAATTTTTTTTTGGTGTTACTACAGATGATTTATTACATGTTTAGCCCTTGAAAAATGTAAGAAAGAATGTAAGATGGTTTAAATTATTCTGGTACAACGTTTTTGTCCACTGAAAATTAAAATCACTCAATGTCCTGGTGGATTCCGTCTTAACACTTTGTGCGCCCGATATGTAACTGTGAACGTAGTGCGTATTTGCTCCGATCCATTTCGCCAAGTCAGACATCATTATGAAACTTGGGCATAGCAGGACTGCGGGAGGTTATGAGTATGCAAAGCAGTGCACTGCCTTAGAACTAACAGAACACATGTGCATACAACGTAGCTTTGCCCACCTTACACCATTGTGCTCGAATTCTGGCATACGTACGTATAAAGGGTTTGTACACATTAGTTCTAAGCGTGTACCGTACTCGGGAATCGTGCCCGCTGAACACCTAGCGTATACCAAAGCGAAAAAACATAAGCCACATATACGATTGTCGATCATCTCTTGCCAATTCAAGAATTCCCGTTAAAAACTGGGGACACTATATTTTACGCCCTCTAATGGAGACGAGACCGCCATTTTACGTGGTCATCCGAACCACGCGAAGGTCTAGCCGCCTGCAGGGCAAAGGAAGTACCTTCATTTCTCAGTTATTTTATTACCCTGACTATTGGTCCGGTCCCGGGAATCGAACCCGCGACCTCCCGCTCTGCAGTCAAGCGCTATACCGACTGAGCTAATCCTGCCGCGGTAACGCGGTTAACGCATAGAATAAGGCGCTCGAGCAATTTGATCAACTTTGGTTGAGTTATATTTATCCATGCATGTCCCCATAAATCAGTTATTTGTTTTCTACACAGGATGTTCCTACCCTCTGGGGATGGAGAACAGAGACTTACCCGATGCCCAGATAACAGCTTCAAGCGAGTACGACGCCACACATGGCCCGTCCAATGGCAGACTCAATTTCAAGGCTGGAGGAGGTAAGACTGGCGCATGGTCTGCCAAAACAAATGACGTTCATCAGTGGCTACAAGTGGATCTTGGGCAAGAAATGGTAGTGCAGGCGATACAAAGTCAAGGAAGACAAGACCGTTATCAGTGGGTCAAAAGCTATACTGTTTCCTACAGTAATGACGGGATTACCTTCACAGCGTATGGCCAAAACAGGGTATGTAGAGAACACTGTAAAAAGTGCCGTAAAACCTGCAAAGGAAATAGGTATTTGTATGGTTTAAGCAAATTCAAAAAGCTTCAAACTGTACCAATATTTAACTTTTCAGACCTAAAACAACCAACATGCAATCACCCCAAAAAAACTGATTAACATTTAAGGGTAGCCGTTTCCTCTTTAAGAGTGGAAAACAGAAGTCTTTTTTTTATCACGGAGTCAGCTTTGAAAAGCAATCGGTTCGTAAGTCAACAGAAAGTGTAGCTCATTTGCTGATAATGCAGTCGATAACAATATTGAAAAAGATGATAAACAATGTGCTTTTATTCCATTTATGCAGGTCTTTCGGGCAAACAGAGATCAAAACTCCGTGGTTTTAGGCCTGTTTTCACCATCCATCAAGGCAAGGTATATTCGTCTACATCCTCAAACGTGGAATGTCCATATTTCCATGCGGATTGAGCTCTTGGGTTGTCCAATAGGTAATAATTATTGTCTTTACAACTAATAGTTGACTAAGGATATAAATTGTTTTGCATTGAAATCTCCAGTGGAGCATTGAAACAGCTGAGCTAAAGGCTACCTATAAGGCAAGCGCAGCCATATCCTAAAAGCAAGTCATAACCTACCTTGAGAGGATTGAAAGTAAGTAGGGGAGGATGGAAAAGGGTAGGTGAACAAGTTACGACTGGGGTTGAAAGGTTTGATCATCGAATCAGTAAAGGAGGCGTTTTTTTTCTTTTTCTTTCTTGTTCATCGATACTGGCGCAGCAAAGAAGAAATTGCACAGCAACAGCGATATTAGGTTCAACTCTCGATTGAGAACAGTTGTCTTCTAAAATAAGCTTGCCGTGGATGATTCTATGGAACAACGGACATTCTAAAAGATATTGTTCTTGCATGTTACGTCGACTCCTCTCGTTCTTGGTTCTGGTATAAATGATGTAAAACGGAAAGGCAAAATGAAATGCACAGAATGCGGACTGGGATGAAAAGGGAAGGGATAAAGGGAGAAAAGCGAAAGGGAAAAAGTAGAGGGAGCCTTTCCTTTCTTTCTCTCTCAAATCTCCTCTTCTTTCCCTCCCTTCCCTCCCTTCCCTCCACTCTAGACGCTTGCCACGCAGGCCAGTTTCTCAGGGTTACAAAAGGTCAAATACATGACAAGAGAGAGAACCAAGCATGCAAAGTCTGCATGTGAATGACCTCCGGTAATGTGTAGCAGAAATACAGGCAGTCTCTAAATAAATTTTATCACATATGCACAGTTTGCTCAAACCCTCTCGGGATGGAGAACAAAAACATACCTGATGCACAGATAACAGCGTCGTCCGAGTACAACAACAGAACACGTTCCTACTATGGGAGACTGAACCTCGAGGCTGAAGGAGGCAACGCTGGTGCATGGTCTGCAAAATATGATAACTACAATCAGTGGCTACAAGTGGACCTTGGAGAAAAAACACAGGTGACAGGAATTAAGACCCAGGGACAAGAACGCGACACCTGTCAGTGGGTGAAGAGCTATACTATCTCCTACAGTAACGACGGCATCGCCTTCACAGCCTACAAGCAAAACGTGGTATGTAGAGAACAGAAATTGACTTTTGCCCTAGAGCTGTCTGTAATAGAGGTATGCCACACGATGCGTCACAAAATGTAATAAGATATAATATAATTCCACAATATGTACAGTACAGTTGATATTAAGAAACGTATTGGTACACTAGTGTCAACCGTCCATATATCATACGATGATTAACGTTTTAAACACTCTCAGCACGTGTTGTTTCAAACACTGCTGTTCTTGTTTGAAACATGACATATATTATATGGGCAGTCACAGTTAAGAGAGAACAGTTTTCTCTAGATCATTTTATACTTTAACAAATAAAAATCGAATAGGCCATTTCCGAGTGTTCCCCAGATCTCTGTTCAAAGCGAGATTAAGTGTGAAGCCATTTATATGAAAATAACTTTCTATTATCGTGAAAATGAAACACGAAAGGCTTTGCAATTAGCCTTTTTGAAACTTGGAAAATGGCGCAACTCTACACCATCTGCATCAAGCAAGATCATCATATCTGAAATGGTCTCTTTCTGGAGGATTAAATAAATAGTATTTGGCTTTTATTTCCAAACGTTGCCGCCGTTGGATTCCAACGGTGCTTTCCTAAGCCGGGGGCCAAGGTAAAAGGTTTTGAGAGAAAAATAATGGTGTTTGCGAAAAGGGGTAACTGACGCTAGATGGTTACTTACAGGGAAATTGCCAAAAAAGTCGACGGCATTTCATTTAAGTCTTTGTAGTAGTCAATACCGAACGCATCTTAGTTCAGTTCAGCTGATAAATTTTGTAGTGTTTTATGATGAAGAGGATTGAGTGACTATAATAAGGTTATCTGTAATAACATATAACCGTTATCCTCTTTTCAAAACTGCAGGTCTTAAAGGGAAACAGTGACCATGACACAGAAGTGTTGCACGTTTTTGTCCCACCCATTCAAGCACGCTACATCCGGGTACATCCTAGAAAGTGGCACGAGCATATTTCCATGAGAATGGAACTCTTAGGTTGCCCAGGTATTGGTTAGTTCTCTTTCGAAAAGAGCTTTAACAAACAAGGCGTACTCCGCCTTTCTTACTGACTAGGCTGACTCATTATACACTAGAAAGGACACTGCATGCCTTTTCTCTAACTCATTTTATTCAAAGAAAATTGATCAAAGATTTGTGACGTAAACCCCTGTGTTTTAATAATAAGAAGAAGAAGAAGAAGAAGAACAATGATAATATTACACACAGTGTGGTAACAAGGTCTAACAATAATAGTCAATGTAGAGAATATATAAAATATATAGAGCGTTTTCACAAGACGTCACGGCAGCCATTTTGTTGTTCCAAAACAATGAAACGGCGGCCATATTGCACTCTTAAACTGACATAAATGCACTTATTCAATTTCAACTCTACGAACTGCTTAACCACTTATGCAGCCTTACCCGACTGCCAAAATAGAAATTCAACGCCTTAAACGAGCAAACTATTCTCATGATCGAGCGCAAGCCAGAAAAATTTAGAATAAACTAACGTTACTGAAAAAACCACCTTTCTGCCATCCTTAAGTTGTTTTACATAAATAAGTAAGCGGGAAATTTTACTGTCTGTTATTACAATACCAGGGGGAGAACAAATATGTAATCAGTCAAAGTTTCTGTTGTTTACTGATAAATTCGGCCTAAAAGGTATCCCTAATCGCTCATCAACGTTTTGCAATACGCCGTTTAGAACTTTTTTTCGTATCACTGAAAGGGCAACTAGATGACTCAGCAATTATATTAGAGCAGTAGTTTCATTGCTTGTTTATCGCGTTTTTGATTCAATACTTTCAGTGACGCCGAATCCAACAACGACATCGCCTACAACAACTCTCTCTCCAACAACGACTCTTTCTCCAACAACGACTATATCTCCGACAACAGCCGGACTTCCACCAGGTAACATTACCAGTCTTTATCAATTATCGCTATTTAGGCCTATTTAGTTGCAAGCTCGTTTGGTAGGTTTTTGGGTGTCTACTATCACTCAAACCTGAATATAAAAAGCCAGTGAAAAAGTGAAGATGACATTTACATGTTTGCGCGTTGTCGTCCTCATACTATAGAATTTGTAAGTTTACACCTGTTCGTGACTTCCGGCTAACCCTTTCGCTTTGTCGTCCTCATACTACATGAAGTTGATTTCGATAACATGAGAATAGAATTTGGAAGTTTACCCATATTCGTGACTTCCGGCTAACCTTTTCCATGGCACTATGGTCACGGTTAGCTGCAAACTTTCACTAGCTATTGCAGATTCTTCCGAGCTTAATAGTTAATACAGAGTCAACCTAAACATATTCTTGTTAAACAGACTTGGATTTCTTAAATTCAGTTTCAAAGTGCCTCCTTGTACGAAAGAAATCTTTACGATCACATTTGTCTTAACTGATATAAAAACTAATGTTTACTGAGGTGGTGGGCTGCAGGTCCAATGCTTCGGGATCGAATCCTACTCGTGCTGACCTGAAATTTTCTTTCCTTAAAAATTGAAAAGAAATAGACTTTCATGAACATTTGACGAGCAGAAATTTCATGTTGGAAAGGGGAAATGTCATGTGAGAAGGAAATGTCAGTTTTGAGTATGGAGATATGAGGCATTTACATCATCAC